GTCGAACGCATTACTATTTTTATAATTTAAAATTAGGCTCGTTATCAACCACAATCATTATTTATTCGCATCATTTACGCTGTCCAACTGCAAAGTAGTGATAGAAAAGACAACTAATGCATACTAGAGCGTTCGTATTGTCAACCTGAATAAGTCAGTTACAGGAAAAACAAAGATAAACGACACATTATGGTATGGGTTGTACTGACCATAATTTATTATTAGACATTGCAAATACGTTCAATGTTGCCGACTGGGCAACATTGAACTTAAGTTTTATGAGTATTGAATTTTACTGAGTTTGCACTCGATTGTAAGTAAAAGTTTTCACTGATATCTGTGATACCATCGAGTGCTAGAAGTACACTAAGAGAGGATCTCAAGTGACTCTTTGTTGTGCGTGCCAAAATAGGTAACACTTGTACAAGAGTTTACAATTGCGTTCTTACTGAGGTAAAATGCCACCGAGTACCAGAAAAACACTCGGAGCGAATGTCAAGTGACTTCCTGTCTAGTAAGCCTTAAATAGATTTGAGAAGAGGTAAAAGTTGTTTCCGCTTTGACATTTGTAAATGATGAGGTATGAAGAAAGAATGTACAGGTTTAAAAGGACCCTCAATCGTTCTATGAAATTATTCTAAGAGTGAATGTCGAAATCCTATGAGACTCCATGATAACCATTCTGAAAAGTACGAAAGAACTTTGGTAGAGGTAAGGGCTTTGAGGTCATGTTATAGAAAAGCTTAAAATGTGAAAGAAGTTATAGATAAAGCGATTTATCCCATCAGAAACTCATCAACTCAACCACTCATCCCTCGCTCAACTCTTTCACTAACCGTTCAAAGTGACCAAACGATATGTTTGTTGCTTCTTATTCCCCCCAGTAAGGAGAGATTAGTACAGTTTTTTCCAGGTAGATCATATCTCACCATAAAACTCTCACAGTAAATCTGTATTTTTAGAACGGATAGATAAAAATTAAGTACGTAGAATACTTACAATTTGTGTGCCATGGCACACCACATCGTTAGAAAAGTCAAATCAAAGTGGACACGCCTTATTTAGAGGTTCTCGGCCATATAAAATGAGCAGTCAATCCTCTGATTATCATAATGAAACCTTTATTGATCTGCGCACGTTATACTTTTCAAAATGGTGTTGCGTCTTTAAAGGAAAAAAATTGTTCATCTTCAGTCAATACAGTACAATATACCATGACACTGCTATATTAACGTCACTCGAGAGACCATGAAGTGAGCTCACTTTATCCTCTAATGCGTCACTACAATACGTTTTGAAGCTATGTATGCGAGAATTCAGGGGTAGATCTTAATATCCATTTCCGTGTTGCATTCAGAGGGCATGTACATACTAGTCAATGTTAACTTCCTTTCATTTTTCGAAAAGGCCCGCGCAAGGTTCTTTAGACTGCTGGAGAAGTGTGGTTTCTATTCTCCCTTCGTTTGTGAATGCTTAAAACAGAACGCCTGGGATATTTCAGGAATATTGAGGGAGAAAGAGTTTTTGCCTCAAACATGGAACGGTGGCCATTAAGTCCTATTTTTCTGAACAAGACTTGTTCCATGAAATGGACCGTCAAATGCGAGCCGAGTTCAGGATCAACAATTTTAAAAAACTGTACAAGAACAGACTGTGTTTTAGCTAATTGATCAGTATCCAGTTGTTTAAAGGATGGATAATACTATCCAACGGATAAATCGCCATCCAGCGGACGAGTGTTAACAAAACAAACTGCCCTATTCACTGAAAAGTGGATAGGGATTTATCCAGTGGAGAGCACAATCCATTTGTAAGACCGTTGTAAGACCGAGGCCAAGTAAATGTTAAGGTGTGAGTAGCGTTTTTTTACAGGTAGTGGAAGACTAAATATGAAAAATTTTCTGTAATTACGAGAGGATCAACACTAGGTCAAAATGTCGATTGAACTTTTTCAGCAATGGGCTTGAGGCTCCAAGATGAATTCATTTGAAATTTTTAAGACTTAAGTCTGTCACTTTCTAACAATAATTGCGATTTCTATAAGTGGCCATCCTTTTCGTACAAGGTTTTTGAAACTTTTTAATTGTGCGTCGTTATTTTAATGAATGGGTACCTGTAGTTCATTATCACCAGTTACTTGTCTCTCGGAAACGAGTCCTGTTTTGAGAAAGACAAAAGGTTTTCACTACGTGAGCTAACGAGAGCCGCTGCTTAAGAAATAAAGTATTAAACCGTGAAGAAAAAAATGATTTCCGTCTACGTGACTACACCGACATTTCAATGACAATTCTTGAACATTTCTACGTTCCACATGGACGAAGAGGATTCCAGGCAAGTTCGTCCTTTCCTTTATCGTTCAAAATGTTCTGCAAAATGGGGAGGTTAGAAAGCTTTTCCTCAATGCATGCTTGAAAGTATACGCACCGTCATCCGGTCTCCTTTCATTTGAATCATGTGCCGAGTCTTAAAGCTCTTGAAACCATACAGTGACACTGGAAGCAATGCAAAGCGCTACGCACAAGAATGGTACCCGTTTGAGCAAACGACTTGTAACCAGTAACACTGACAGGTGGTCCTTTAAGAGCGAGCATTGCTTCGAGAAACAAAGACTATCCATGCTGTTTGCATTTGATAGGCGCAGGAATAAACAATTTCTTTAATTCGAAAAGCCATAATAACGGCAAGATTTTGTAAATGAAAGAAAGACGTTCATCAGACTGCGAAAAGGTGAGATCCTCTGTGGCGATACAAAAATATTGTTGCACGTTCTAACAAAAAATTTTGCAAAACCTTGAATACATTGGTAGTGCGCTAGTAGCGTTTCAAAGATCATCATTCCAGTACAACCACATCTTCGATTTATCTATTAAGGAAATGTTTTTATTATACTTTAGGATAAGTTGGAGTCTGCTCCATTTTTGTCGATAAATTAAGGCCTGAGAGCGAGTCTTTAAGAGCTTCAGACAGGTGCGCTATGTACCATTTCATCGATTTCAGAGAAACTTTGCAAGCGTAAAGGATCTACCTCAAAACTTAAAGAGATCACCTGCTTTCTTTCCAAAGATAATTAGAATCGTTTGTCTCACGATGTGGTTACTGCAGATGTGGATCGCGACGTTTCGACTGCGTATTACATATTCAGGCCATCCTGTTTTGCCGGGTTGCACTAACAAGGAATCATGTAGATCTCGCAATCGTTTTAGTCATCCACTTTGTCAAGTGCTTTTAAGAGCGTGTAAAACGTCCTGTAACGAAACCCTTTTTTAGCTCCATGGGGAGGAAATATCTGTCATCTGCCGTTGACCCGGTTAACAGGATAGCGTTGTCCACAGGATTCCAAGTGAATGTGGCAAAGTCTGCATCGGCGAGACTGGCAGATCTGTGCAGGGGAGAATCAAAAAACTTAAATAGGTGACGAATGCTCAGTCGACCTCATCGCCTGAAGAAGATTAGCAGTATGCAATCGCAACGTCGGGATCCACATCTGCACTGACCACATCGTGAGACAAGGGATTATAATTCTCTTCTGGAAGTGTTATTTACCACGATAACAAACCACAACTTACCTTTCGATATGAACTGCTTTCTGTTTCGGTTTTTTTTTTTCGGAGGTGTGACAGCAGTCCTCCCCCGATGGGTTTACTAGACTTTCACTATGAAAATCGCCTCAAAGACAGGCAAAATGCACGATTGCCATCTTAAGCCACGATAGTTTGCAAACATAATGGTGCACCCTTAATAAACGAAATAGAGAAGTAGAGGTCGATTTGATTGACCTCTAAACATAAGTGACCGCCTTTCTAAAACTTTTCATTCATTCTAACACATATGGTAATTTTAGTCAAATATCTTTACTTGCTTGGAAGTTACAAAAGGAATCGAAATCATTCATCCTTTCATCTCTGAAAACCTTTAAAAACAATGGGGTACTGATATTTTTTGCCGCAAATGCCACTTGAAAACTACTTCACTAGTTACAAGCTTCTTTCGGTCACTAAAACAAACAAAGGTTCATTTTCTTTCTCTTCCTTCCAGATGAATGATCAATAAGGATTTGGAATGTTAAAGACTTTGGAGATTTTGGACTCGCAGTTCTTTTTGCCTTGATGTTTGTTATTTTAAAGACCTTCTTAAATTTTCAGTTGGCTTTTGTACGGCTTCAAGCTTTCAAAAATCTTCCGGCCACCTAATCATAACTACCATCAATTGATCGTACACTTCGCCGTTCCCTCAGGTTATTTTAAACTTGCAAGTTCACAAGCAAGTTCCAGTGTGCAGCATCCTCAGCGTATGGGAGAAACTCCGTCCCTCAATATTGTCAGCTCAAATCAATTAATCGTGGGTTGCGCTACTTTTCCAGAAAATCAGACCAGACTAACGATGTTTTTGGCACTTATCACAATCGAAGATTTCCACGCAGCACTAGTGTTTGTAGCGTGACCTGATGACCTTTCATAGGAACTATTCCAACACATTGTTCATCCTCTCTGCAGTGCAACAATTTGTTGAGATTCCGAAGATGTATATCTATAATTCATTCTGACCGACTTATACCTGCATTTTCTTAAATGCACGTTTTAACTAGATCTGTATCTCTCTCGATGGAAAGTTTTCGTCGTTTAACGATGTTTGGCGTAGCAAAATATCTTCTCTGTTGCTTAACAGCTAAACTTCCCGTCTAACTTTTGGAATATATATATATATATATATATATATATATATATATATATATATATATATATAAATGGGGGTAGAGTCTACCTTGGCATAAAGTGCTCAATGCTGTGGTAGCAGAGCTGAGTTTATATAAGTTAAAGAATCAAAGAGGACACATCGATTCTCTGTGACTCTGAGTTTGGCGCCTAAGCGCTCGTCAGACAGAATTTTCTGTCTGAAGAAAAGTTCTGTCTGACGAGCGCTTAGGCGCGAAACTCAGAGTCACAAAGAATCGAAGTGTCCTCTTTGATTCTTTAACTTATATATATAATCAGAAAAAGGCAATGGCCCATCCCAATTTTTATGATGAAAGGACTTCTTGTCACCCAATTCTGTCAGTAATCATACTCGTGATAAACAAATCGGACTCCCGCTTCGCGGTCGACCGATTTTGTCTATCACTCCTAGGCGTTGGTTATAAGTGTTCGTGAAAGAAACAACAGTTAACTTGGGGAAATGCACGACAACAGCGTACGTTCATGACGCGTACTGTCCACTTACACAGGCATGACGTATCAACCGTCCTATTACACTGCCCAATTACAAGCACGACGCGTGCACTGTCCTATTAGTGCTCAGAACGGGCTGGTGATAACCAATCACGTTCGAGAATTTTGTTATGGTTTTAATTACTAAGAACCATACAGACCGTGGATGACTAACATGGGAAACAAAAGGTGAAAACGAAAGATTTGTTGTCGCACCAATGAAGTTTGAAATTATGGATGTCTTTCAGGTTAACGTGTTATGTCTTGATGCCTTTTGATGCTATGAAGCTTGTCAACACGAGTACCCTGTGCACTGCGAAATGAACCGGATACGATGTACGAAGTTTCTTTTACTTGTCATCTTTGTGAGCCTGTTCGCGTATCTCATGCTTAAAGACGAGTCCGTTTGTATCACTGTAAACAGCGTCCATAATGCAATGACTGCGAGAGAAATTGCTACCTTGTTACAAGGAGGTCAGTATTTACACCATTCCAAGTTTGAGAATAACAATCTCTGTCAAGGTTTCTCCTTTTTTTTTCTTTTTCTTTTTTTTTTTTAACTAGATATCCTGTCAATATCGGTAAGTAATCTATAATGAACGAAAAATTGGATGAAGAGTCTCGAGTTTGTTCTGGGTGTAGAGAGTGCCACTCATTTATAGTTGGGAGAACACACTTCATCTATGAGGTTCTCGAAGGAGTTGTGGCGCTTACAGCTTACAAATTTTGCGGCTTTTATGCCTTAAGGTTTTGATTTAGGGCCGTTTTATGGCTACCGGTTTACCCTTTAACTCTCAAGATCTCATTAGTAATTTTCCTTAGTGTCTGCCATACAGTTCTTATGATGTTTGTTAGGAGAATTTGATATGGGATAAACTAATAATCCCCATATTGATATTCCTCTTTATTCTCATCACTTTTCTGCATGATATTGTTTTGATATTGTAAGGAGAAATTCTGTCTTGGTCATTCATGGGAGTTAAAAGGTTAAGAATTTTAACGGTTGAAGGTTAGATTTTTCCGTTTTTCCAGACTCAGCTTTTAATTTCTTAGCCTTTTTACGGCCAGCGGTTAACCTCCATTGAGTCCCTCCTGTAATGAACATGTTTGAGATTTAAAAGAAAGAACTAAAAAGCTTCGTCTTCCATGTACCTAGGTGAGAAAACGGAGAAGCCCTGGATAAAAGGAAAAGGGGGAAAAGTGTCAAGCAGGGTAAAAGATAATAAAGAAGTAAAAGCAGTGGAGGGGAAACAACAATCGCTTCTTGAGAACTTGATAAAAGCGAGAAAAACGGAGGAAGAATTGAAAAAGAATATTATCCGGCTAACCACCGAGCTTCGCAGCGTTCATAAATTCAGAGGTGGAAGTGAACTGAACAGGCTTAAGAGAGCCGATGAATTAAATCTTCCTACAGTTTTTGTTATTACTCCTACGTTCAAACGTTTCGTACAGAAAGCTGAGCTTACTCGAGTCTATCAAGCTCTGAAGCCTGTCAAAAACCTTCACTGGATTGTGGTCGAAGACGCTATTAATAAAACTGACTTAGTTGCGAATTTTCTGAGGACTTCGGGTTTGAAGCACACTCATCTAAATGTAAGAACTCCTGACATTTTACGCCGCCATCGGAATGAAATGCGACGAATGAAACCCCGTGGTGTGGTACAGAGAAATCTGGGTGTTCAGTGGCTACGCGAAAACATTGATCCTCACAGAACGTCTGGAGTAATTTATTTTGCAGACGATGACAATACATATGATAGTAAAATCTTTGACGAGGTATGGAATTCTGATGCAGAATTTTTACTCCGCGAGTTTCTTTTCTTTGTGGAATTTGTGTGGGGAAATTAGATCAATCTGACATCGGTAGTTGAAATAGGGGAAATTGGCAGGATAGTCTCATACCAATATTATACTCTATATATTTCCCAAGGCGCTGACAAGGAGAATTTGTTCAACAATCAAGCGCCTCTTTCACTGGTGATCATAGCCTTTATTCTCGTAACCTAAATGTGTGATTCGGGGATGATATTGTAAAGAGAAATTAGGAGCTTAGGGGTTAAAGGGTTAGGCAACTTAAATTTATCGGATACTCTAAACAGATAGTTCACCAAAATGAATTTATGACATTTTTTTTTTAGATGCGTTGGATACGAGGAGTCGGTGTTTGGCCAGTGGCATTTACAGGCGCAGCGCGTTGGGCAGGTCCCTTATGTAAGAATGGTAAGGTTGTCGGTTTTCATGCAAAGTGGGGTCGGTTTCGTCCGTTTCCTATCGATATGGCTGCATTCGCGGTGAATCTAAGAAAGCTGTTGATTGACTTCCCAAACGCCAAGTTTGTAGCAGTAGAGAAGCCTGGAATGTTAGAATCATCATTATTGAGCCAAATAACTAAAGTGGAACAACTGGAACCGGTTACTCCAAACTGTAGCAAGGTAAGGATAGTATAATGGATGCCTTTGTATGGGACGACGATCACTTTGTAGTATATGAATTTCAAGTTAAGAGTCGTCTGTTGACGGCAAATTTAGTACAAAGATTGGAATTACTCAGATTAAAATCTCCTTTTGGGCCATTGCTGTTCTGATGCAGAATAGGGCTTCGCTATTCAATTATTCTAAGATATCTAGGCTTTAATTCTATGAAACTCCTGCTAACAGCAAGGAAGAAAAGAGCGTATGTAGTGAGGATTCCTGAAGCACTTTACTTTTTGCAATAGCAATGGCCATTCCACATTGCTCTTACGGGCAGGCAAGGATAGTCAGATATTTCATGTTCTTCCCGTATCTTTGAATACAAACTGATCATTACATCATTACATCTTTTGCAATCTCTTATCAGGTTTATGTGTGGCATACAAGAACAGAAACACCAAGAGACAGCATTTTAGGAGAAAAACAGTTGATAAAAAAAGGAATGCCATCCGATAAAAGCATCGAAACGTAACCATGGCCATCCGAGTCACTTCCCGATGCAATTAAGTTCTTCAGTTATGCCATGTCACATTCAATTCTTATCTCATGAAAAATATTTAACGCGATAAGAATGAGACAACATTTTAATTTGAAACAGAGTTTTTCTCAAATATTTTCTAGGCTATGCGCAATTACATCTCTAATAACGCAGATAGAGGAAATATGAAATCCCTGTCCCACATCAGAACGATGCGTACGCTGTTATTTCAAATAAAAATAAAAACCTTTGTTCCTACAGGGATTCTTGAAAGAGCACTTTAAGATCAAATTTCACAAGAAAAGTTATCTCATATCTGGCAACAACAACAATAACTCCAACTAAATTTTGATTTGAGTTACTAGGAAATAGCGATCGGTGCCCTAATGAAGTGGTTTCGCCCGGATGTTTTCTCTATTACGTTACGAGACCACCATGGTAAAACTTAATGATTAATCTAGGAAAAGATATCTGCAACTGAATCTTCCTATGATCTCATACATCTCCATCAAGGATCCTTAAAGGGAACGGAGTATGCACCAATTTTCCTTTTTTATAGGGAAATGACAGAGTTACGGTCTCCAAAATTGAAAATTGCCAAACATGTGGCTTTTTTTAATTGTTTGTAGAATCACCAATATTTAAAGGACGTATTTCAATTATTGTAAGACTGAGAAAACCCAAGATGAAATAGATGAGAAGTTGTTTTTCCTGAGAAATCGGAATGCAATTGGTTCAGCCCAAATTTCTATACGGTTTACTAGCTCATCTACCTTTTGACTAATGAATTCCAAATCCTCATGAGGGAGTTCCTTCTTAATTTGAGGTATTCCTCTATCATAGGTTCTTCGTTCATTTGAGCTAGGTCGGCGGCATCTTTTCCATCTTTCGTAGTCAAGTTGACATCGGCTTTTAGCTCCACAAGCTTTGTGACAGTCTGCATCTTGCCAAGTATTGCTGCCGTCTGCAGTGGAGTGAAGCCATCCCCATCTCGAGCATTTATCTCTCCGCCATACTTAACCAAAAGCTCAATGACTTCAAGGTTTCCATTTTTAATTTCACACGCAATGTGGAGGGGTGTCTTACCTATAGGATCTTTCCGAAATTCACTCGACTTGTTCAAATTTTTTGTTATTTCGGCTTCTGAAGGAGGCTCCCCCAATCCTGATCGAATAATAGTACCAAAGTTATTTACATCTAGTTTTCCTCCATGAGTTCGTTTCAGAAACAAACCCAAAAGAGATCTCTCAACCATAATATAATACCAGGCTGGTCTTCCTTTCTCATTGCCCCGAACAAGAAATAGCCTTTCATTTGCATTACTTTCATCGCGCATGTTCGCATCGGCATTGTTTTCCAACAAAAGCCTCACGAGGTGTCTATGTCCATTTTGAACTGCCAGACGGAGTGGCGTCTTACCACTTTTGGTCTTCAAGGTAACATTGCACCCAGAGCGTACAAGGAGATTAGAGATATGAAAAAATCCTTTCATCACTGCAACATGCAGTGCGGCATGACCCGTGCTACAACTCACGTCTGCATTCATCTGTTGCATGGAGAGATGGTAGACGGCCATGTAATTGTTCCAATGTGTCGCCATCATCAACGGCGTGCATTGATCTTCTCTTTGAAACGCTGTGTCAGCGCCGAGGTCGATGAGTGTTTTGATATATAGACTGGAAGATCGTAAACTGGCCCAAAGAAGAGGCGTGCGATTTCCTTCAGCCTCGGTGTTCACATCGATACCGTCTTTTAAAACGAGTTCGACCGCTTTTTCAACATCGCCATCGTCAGCACATTTGTGGAGCTCTGTAATTGTGGCCATGCACCCCTTCTGGTCTAAATATATCTGCCTAATTTGGGCGTGGCCTTCTTTGTTTAAGTCAGAAACAATATCTAAAGCAGTTTTTCCAGGAAATGACCTGGCGCTAGTTAGAGTTCTTACCATAGCCATTTGCTCCAGGAAGTTATCAATGTACACACTGGCAGCTACAACTGTGGGATAATTTCCTTCATACACGGCAGCCTGTAGCATATTAAACCCAGAGCTCTGATCAATCGCCAAGAAAGCCCTCTTCGAAAGTGAAGCAAGACTAAGCTGCAATAAATTAAATCAAAAATCAATGTCAGTGGTTTTGGCCAAAGGATGACCGTAAAAATTGAACGACAGGTAGTCTTTCATGTACTTTCTTCATATTACTTATCGCGTCGTTTGTTCCATGATTTACACAGGCCCGTTAAACATATATGATTTTGTTAAGAAGAAAGTACCGAACTGGCGTGTCGTGCGATCAGCACGCGCGCGCTGAGACATTTGAATTTGACCAGTTCGTAAGCAAGTTACGCGTACGATTTCTCGCGTGGCTTTTTTTCAGTTTTAGTCGCATTTTGGGTGTTTTTGTTGTTGAGTTTGTATTTTAAGTCGTTACCGTTTTACTGTCTTTTTACCGATTAAACGTGCCTGCTTTTAAAGGAGATTTTCGTTATCGCTTCCGAACAGATTTAATCACTTACATCAGATAAATCCAAGACTATAAAAAATCGTGGCAGACGTAGTTAAAGGATCAGCAAATACTAGTGTAATACCTTTTTTTTTTACCTCTGTCAATTAAAAGGCAGAAAATATTTATCATTTCGGGGCTACCAATGTCTCTTTTTAATTGAAAAATCAGCACTAAATCTCCTGTTGCTTTTCCGAAACTGAGACAAAACGATAATGCAAAAATTAAGAAGACATTTTCCTTAACAAGGATTTATCTACGATATGAAAGTCGAATGAGAAGCATAGGAAAAGGGAAAAAAAGGGATTTTTTCCACCCTGACTGATCAGTAAGATTATCGAATAAAGCCACGATAATTTATCTCTGTTATATTAGTCTTGTTTGTTACTGATCAACAAAATTACAATATCATAAGATTATCATATTCGTACCGGCTGTTGATAACTTTGAGATGCACCATATTTGAGGAGCAGCTTCATTATGGAGCAGTGATTATGACGCTCAGCCTTTTGAAGAGATGTTTTCTGAAACTTGATGAGAAGCAAGGGAATTCTATGCGTGCTATGTTCTCGTTCGCATACTGTTTGGATCAATAATGCTTAAATTACTATCAATCACGCCAAGAAATTGTGGATGTTACTAAATCCATTAAAATAAAGATATAGTATACCAAAAGCATCGCATGATGATATCAATCCTCAAGTGCTTTTTGTGCATGAAAACATAAAAAAACAAATTCGCCTACACTGTCCACAGCATTTACATCTGCACCATGCTGTAACAACAATTCGACAACACGCTCGTGTCCATACCATGAAGCAAGGTGAAGGGGCGTCAACAAAAACTGTAAAAGAAGGGACAACGAACTTTTTGAAATGAGAACATATAATTGCTGACTCAAAGAATGCATTTAAATAAATTGTGAAGTAATACTCATAAGCAACTTGAACCAAAAGAAATAATAACAAAAGCTACCTTGTCTCTTTGGTCAACACCCTGCCCATCCTCCAGTAGCCTCTTCACTAAGTGCCAATCCCCATTAATTGATGCTCGATGTAGCGAAGATCTCCGAGCCTAGCAACAAAATCGAACCATTTAATCAGTGATGAGGGACGAAGACTATCTCACTGAACTGGAGTTTATGTTATTCTTTTTCGTTACACTGCACCAACAGTTGTCCTGTGATTATGGTGTAGTGTTCTGCTGACATACCCCAACCAAAATTAACAACAACCACATTCCATCATTTACAAGCGTTTGCCTATTATTATAACATTAGCATTTTAGTACCTTTAGTTTAGTAAGCCTTAATGCTTAAGTCTTTCTGGGAATGACTGAAATCGGTTAAAATAGTTCACGTTACTGTATTGTAATTCGTTTGTAATTGTTTACGTTATTTTATCTTAGTTAAGGAGGACCCCCTTGAAATCCACGTAATGTGACGGGAACTTCCTCTTTAAAGATTATTATTATTATTATTATTAATATTATCATTATTATTATTATTATTACTATTATAGATCGAAAGTATGCCCATTTTGCCTTGATTCGCCATGTTTCTTTGTTTTTTTGTTTTAGTTTATTTCGCTTTTTCCCTCCAATCATATCTATTAAACTGCACCTTCGCCATCGATTTTGAATTGCGTATGTCTTAGCAATATTTTGCTCTGGTTTTCTACAAAGTTGATTGTTTGTTGTGTCTGGTTTACCTTTACTTTATTTAACTTTTTGACTGTGTCTTAACACTTTTTGTCTTTGTGTCCACCCCCAAATCGATTATAAATCGGGAATTTTGGTGACTGAATCAACTATCAATTCACTCTGAATTCAGAAAGTAAAAGGAACTCACTTCGACACCTTTCGCGCCTGTTTGCTGTTGTAATCCTTCACTGACTGTTGAACCAGCTTCTGTACATAGCGGGCGAATGCTACGGTTACGGCTTTCAACCAAAGAATCTTCTTGTTCGCCTGTTAGAGAGCTTGATTTTAACCCTGTAACCGGTTCGTCTGGGCTTTGTTCTACGTCAGGTGATGTCTGTGGAAAAGGTCCAAGTCTTGGCAGGTGAGACTTGTAGAAGGACCGCCAGAGGCAGCAGTTATACACTTCAAATCCACCTTTACCGCAACAAATCAACAGATTAGACGAACATAAGTATCTTTTCATCAGTAAAACAGATATACACTTCAAATCGACCTTTACAGCAACAATAAAAAAAATCAGTCGAATATAAGTTGCGGTAAAACAAAAGCGAATGGTTCTTACTTCATACTAAGTACTCCGATCAGCAGCGGGTTGCACTTGTTTTAAGAAAGCCCCTCTCCCTAACCCTCGCCCCCTTCCCCACTACCAACGAGTACCATCAATGTTTCAGTACAAGAAAGGTAGTAGCCATAGAGGTTCACATTACATTGTAGGAGGGGGGGGGAGGGTGAGGGGATGCATTGTGCGCACCTTTACAAGAGTAATCCAAGTTTTTTTAGAAAGATTTTAACCCACCTTTCCATCAGGACCCAGTCGATAGGTGCCTTTTGTACCAACTTCCCATAAAACGTGAACTGCAATGGCATTGCTCCCACGCCAACATGTTATATTTGTCACTGTTCCAGAGGAGTTTCCATCCGTGTCACCATATTCCCAATCAGGACCCCTTACAACTTGTGCGCCTGGGAAGATACCTCTTGCACGGATTCCCTCTGTGTTAATTCTTCTGTACACACAAACCCTGGGTATTTTACGGGTTAAACAAAAAAACCTTAAACAAATCACTTTAATACATGAGGAGTTGAACCACCGAGGAAAACGAGCGAGTCTGATGGCAAGAGTTTGGTTGGGCTGATAGGAAATGATTGAAAACATACCGAGAACATAACAACAGAAAAACAAAAGAAAATTATATTAAGGGATTAATTGATGGTTATCAGTTCTTAATAATTAAAAATTTCGGTGAGAGAGATTAAGAATTTTTTAAGGGATAATTTAACCTTTTGTCCTGTATTCATTTATTCTATTTAACCTAGAGATAAGACAAAGCATGGTTTCTCTGAATGAAAGAACTGATCACCAAGGCTATCATGCGTAACTATATCTAAGTACTTTGGTTAGATGTAGTTTACCGAAGCAAGCTAACAATATCAAAAGTTGAACTCTTATGAAAACAAACACATGGAAAGCAAGCACAGGTTAAACTTGATTACAAAAACACCAGACTGGTAAATTCGCTTTCCGATTCTCTGACAAATAATCAACTGAGATAAAAATTTCCTCTCTGAACTGTTATCGTCGGCATCATTAAAGAATTTAGTTAAGATCAATTCTGCCCTCACTTGTCATCATTCTCCTATTACAAATCACTGAAAAATACTTAAAGTTAAAACTTGCAAAATGTTTCGATACATTTGGGAAGAGTCTCCTAAAGACAGTCCCCGTTTAACTCGTCACGCAACACAGTCTCTTACCAGCGCTTGAGGTGATAACATGTATACGACGAATATTTTCGCTTGAGATACAAACGGGGTTAAATTTAAATTTAAAATCGAAAAGTAAACTTCAGAGTTATTTTTATGCTTGCAACGACAAAAATCAATACTTTTCGTTCATCCAGTCTGAATAAATAAAATGATTGTTATTCCTACCCCTTGTCATCGGCGGAATTATATCTCCAGAAGGCATGAGCTGTACAGTGTTCATCGGCCATGTAACAAGCTGAACATAGGTCCACCGAAGTACCCTCGCAATCCAGGCAGTTCCAACGGATCCCGAGAATTGGGTCTTGATTGCACGTACGGCAGATGACACCTTCGTGTTTTATTCCTTGAAGGTTGAGAGAAAGATTACAAGGTTACTAATGGCGTGTTAGTAATTAATTTGTAATTAATATTCCGTCTACTCAAAAGATTTATGTTTGTCGACACCAACACATTGTTCGGCTGCTAATTTGTGTATTTTAAAGCCAGATATTCAAACAAATCACTTACTAAAATGAACTGGAAAGAAGATCTATATCATGACGTAAAAATGAAAGACGATTTTTGAAACTGAAATTCACTATGATTTCCTCCGGCGCAATTGTCATGCAATTGTATTTTTACATTCTCAAAGCGAAAGTATATCATGGAACTTATTGCAACTAATCAAAGCTTCCTTGGATCATTATTTGATCCTAGTCATGTTTCTTAATGCGTTTTTAAACCATGAAAAGAAGTGTAATGCCACACATAACATGATGTAAGAAAGCAACCCACTTACCCAAAGAAGACATATGAAAAATACAAAGTTCGTAGACACCATTACGGGTTGCATTGTCCCACTGTACCAATGCCATCTTCTTAGATGTATCGGCAGCATTCTTGACAAAGTCGACAACTGTGCCTAAACCACCGTCTGGGATGCTGGCACCATCGCCCTCATCTGATTTCCAGTCGTGTAGAGGAACAACTCGCAAACCAATGCCGAATGTGTTGGTTGCTGAATTATTGTTGAATTCTGATTTTTCTTCACTATTACAATTGTGTGCTGTCTCATTTTGCGGAAACTGGTCTCCCTCCACGTAAGATACTTCGTTTAAAGACCACGGCATCTGTCTGTGCAGCTAAGAAAACCAATTTGCTATAATCATAGTTTGAAGCCAGAAGATGAGGCAAGGCTCTATTTTGTGATCGCGACCGCTGACTTGGCTAAAGAAGCATACAAATGGCTACCGTCACGCTACCGTCACGCTACCGTCACGCTACCATCACGCCATCAAGAAACGCGGCATGCGATATTTACGATGTTTTACGAACGTTCGGACGTGGTGTGCGACACGGAGATCGTGTGACACGAGTTAAGTAGAAACTGCATTGCACTGACTTCATCATACCTGACTGTTGAGGTCAGAGTAAAAAAAAAATAAGAACAAGAGAGAAAGAGAGAAAGAAGACAACTCTCCCCTGGACCTAGAAGCAATCTGATCTCGCACCCTGACTCACGAGCTTGTCAAGAGCATCTTCCAATTCCAATTGCTTATCTGATCAAAGACGATTCCACCACAGAAGCTGCAAAATTCAATTTCCAGATAAATTTCGGGAACACTCAATTTACAATTTATAATAAAATATTTACAATTAAATATTGGGGCTCATGCTGTTTGAGGTCGTTTGTCAGTTTGCCTGTTTTTCAAACGAAATTTTTCCGGTTTTTTTCCCGCATTTTTATTGTTTGCGTTCTTTTACTCATTTGTATATCTAAAACATTAAGGTATCGAAAATCAACTCTTCTTTGGCACTTTTTGGCATTTCAAGCCTCAAATGGGTCCAAGCTCAAATCCAGTGTATAGAAAATGTACTTCCCCTTTCTAGGGATGCATACAACTAATGACCACTACACTTTCCATAGGTGACTGTGCACATTTTTGAGTATTTCACTCATAGTCCATTCACGGTACGAAGGTGGAGTTGGAGCAGTTGTAACCGCTGGCCATTTGTGGAGGCATTCCGGCCGGTTTGACGGTGAATCCGTATGTCTAAGATTTCGAATGTCGCTCGTATGTCACTCGACGTACTTAGGTGATGTTGAAAGTGTGAACCTGGTTTTTTTTAGATCGGAAGTTAAAACGGTCGTTAGCCCTGCGCGTATCGGATGAATTCGAAAATGTCGTCATTGTCTGATAGAGATCCTCTTACTTTTCTAATTCAATCTAGTTTTCTTGGTAATTGTAGCATTTTTAGGTTTGCATTTGTTAGGTCATTTCTGTCTCAACACGAAGCTATTCAAAGTCAGCTCATTTTTGAGGGCAACTTCTCACCTGGCTTAGGATTGTGCAAGGTCAAAGAGGGACTTTCCCGTTGCTAGGGGCGTAACTAACCAGTGCACAATGTCTCATGTTTCACTCGCCATTTCCGATATTTTCTTAAATCCTCGAAGGAACTGGCGTGTAAAGGTGCCTTCGTAATTCGTGGATATTTGTTTAAGCATCTCAGCCACTTGTTTGCAGCTTCAAGTTTATCAGGATATTTCTCACTTTAAGTTGAGTGTTAAGGTAGGCTTAACAGCTTTTTAATTCCTAAGCTAACCAGTAAATTCAATACAACTTAAACAGAGGTTTATCTAACGTACTCTTGGACTGAGACGAAAAAATTCGAACACTACCCTTCGCGTGAGGCGCATCCCTTAGTTAATTATCATCATTTTGTGTTCATTCTCGAGTCATCCTTGAAATCACGACAACAACTGATGCTAAATAAGCGCAAACGAAATAGAACGATTTAGACTTCCGTCCAAACCATCTCGTTAATGCATTTGGTTTCTTTGAAACACGCTCTAATTGGGTCAAGAATAATTTCTAAGACATTATCGTCTCTTCGGAACATTTTTGTACGAATGAATATCTGTCAAGAGGTGCAAAAAAAAAACTTCAAATTACGGTAAGCTTCAGTGAGAAATGAATCTAACAAGCAGTACATCGCAATTGCTTGCTCGCAAAGAATTCAAATTACGAGACACGCGATTTGAGATGAACGGCAGAATACGCATCCTATGGCTTCATGTTATGATCGTTCTAATCGAATAACCAGGTAAACACGAAACTAAGATCCAAAAGTTGTCTATTTGGAACGGAAACTATGCGCTTGGTGGTGACAATACGCCGCGGTTTGAAATAAAATGCACAGAGGACTCGATCTTTTGAATATTGTCCTCCAATCTCTCCACGTATTGAACCCACAATGGAAAATTGGAAAAATTGGAAGCCAATGAGCACAAACTGAAGAAGCAAGGCTCAGTTACCAAGAAACAAAAATTTGTGGTAGTTTCTTGTTTACTTAGTGAAAGTAAATATCAGTTGCGATTTCGTTTTGGATTTAAGATTTGATAATAGTTTTCACTCATTCAATTTGAAATTGCTGTGCATTTAAGCTACGCAAAACTTCATCGTTACAAATGAGTGCCACCTTAAATTTCAGTGTGTGTCGGTTAATTTTACAACGAATAAGCTATCGGAGTTGGCAACTGACTGATTTGGAAAGCAGGAAGGTTGTTTAAATCCATTTCGTTAAGCGTTGTACTTTTAGAGATAACTGAACGTAAAAGTTCAATGTCAGTCACTAATGCAACGGTATTGAAATTATTTTTATTTTAAAACCTCCAGGAACCTCTTATTTTTTTGTGCCTAGTTTGCTGCAATATATGTTAAATATGGCTTATTTGCATGATTGAAATCATGATGTGCTCACGACATGTACCTTCAAGCGTGAAATGGATTAGACAATCACGCTATTTTACTTCATATCACTCGAGTAAACACGGCAGCAATTAAACGTCTTCAAAGCGTGAAAATATAATCGGGAGCTTCTAAGTTCAATATTTAATGTTAAAATGAAGAATTGTTGCCGATCTACTCGTACACAGTACGGTGTTGCACTACTGCATTTGCTCGAATCGGTAGCTTCAAATTCTGCAGAGCAGCTACGTGAGTTCAAAGTTAAGACTCCGGAAAGATATACAATTCTTTGGAGCGTTTCCGGAACTAGAAGAAGTCCTCAGTGGCTCAAACATACACTCGTAATCGTCACAAAGACTGAATGAAATAGAGCACCAAGGGGGTAAATGATAATAAGAGTGGGAAATCTTGATGAAATAAAAGCTAACCGGGCTTTTCCCTCAAGCAAAAAGTTATCGATCATTTCCTCGTGCTATCAGAGGGCTTCGTTTCACTCAAGTTCCTCACGCTATACCGTGACAACTCTGACATGAGCTGTTTTTACTTTAGTTTTGTTTTGTTTTTGTCATACTCTAATCATTTTATTCACTGGAGCAGCGTCCAGAAGGGAATTACACGCTAAAAAGCAGTATTACGTGTTTTGAGAACAATTAAAATCATTGTGAGGCTGTATCTCTTAGTCAAACAATAACCGCTCTTAGGCAACGGAAGAGTTTCCATTCAATAAAAGATAGAATAGATCCATATCTATTTGTCATGAATTGATTATGTCGTTTGCTTCGTGTGACGATGTGTTGTAGCAGTCAATGGATCGTAAGATGTATGAACCTGAAAGAACAACTTCTTTTTATGGTCTCGTTTATTAAACTTCATTTACACCACCTTGGCCAGGCTCCCTCTTTTATTTGTAATCTGAGTGTGATATGAGTAACTTGGCCCTTAAAGTTTAATGCAATCATGATTCCATCCTCTTTGTGTTACTGAATGTGGGGTTGCAACTGTGGAATAATGATAATTTAATCATTATGATCAAGTGGTGACTTATCCCTCAGTTTTTATTTAATTTCAGTGATGGAAACTTTCTGCCTACATTTCTTTAGTTTAAAAGCCACAGCGCCTCTGTTACTAATATGCATTTTTTAAAATTATGTGTATTTTGCAGATCATATCCAGAACTTAGTACATTGAGCAGAAAAATTTGTTACTATGGATGTCCTCGGTAACGACAAAAGATGGCTTGTGACTCTGGTTACATCAAATAAGGTCGTAGCTCCAGTTTTACAGGATATCGTGAAACAAGGAATGGACAAGCTGTATGCTACCCTAGATAATTACCTTAATGGCTTACCGACACCTTGCAGCCTACAAACACTGACCTATGCAGATGTATGCCATCTGGCAGCCACTCCAAGTCCTGCTTCTTCGCTTAAAGACCTAAATTTCGGAAATATTAACAACAACTCTGGTGTTCATGGAAAGACCAAAACGGCTTATAACTACAATGTAAACAGCCTAGTTGATCTTGCCAAGCTTTATCTTCCATACTACCTTGCAGAATTCTCGGCATTCGACAAATCTATGGATTTGAATGCCGCTCTTAGACTATTGGGATGTAGGAAGTATCCCGTACAAGTATTCGTGTCTTCCGATCCCTTGCACGATATTCAGCCGTTGGCAGATGATGTCAGAGATAATGTTAGGAATCGGGGAAGTCATTTTAAAGAGAGTGACTGGACCCAAATCTTCTTTGACCAGTGCTTTGACAAGTTAAAGGCTCTGCTCCAATATCTGCCCCTGCTTCCCGCCAAAAAGAAGGAGCTTTTAGATCAACTCTCTGCATGGAAAACAGAAGGTACTCGAGTGGAATTTAACCATTCAACGAATAGGTTGTTAATATGGCAATTCTCTAGGTCGGATGTTAACTCAAGAGAAATGGAAATACGCTTAAAGAGAGCAGAGACGAGCTTTTCAGGGATCATAGGGCATTCTTCCCAGAGATTTGAAAACATAAAATATTTTTGGTTGCATTTTCAATTTCTACGTCTAAACGAAGTTTCGAGAGCATTAACCGCTTAGGAACCAAACTCAGCGCAAACTCCTAACCCTGTTCGTGCTCATGACGCTTGACTGCTCTCCATTCACAGGGATTAAGCCCATTGTATAATCTGTGGCAGGGCATATTCCTGGCTTTCATTCATGGCCCTTTGAATGTGTTTGTGATCATTTATCATCTATTAATCTCGTCAAATCAAACTAGACCGCCTTCGACTGCCATGATGTTTTCATTCTCTCGGCAACTCACGCGAATTTCCGCTTCAGGGGTTTCCCCTGTGCCAACCTGGTCGTTGCAATTAAGTAAGCGGAACAGCAAACTCAGAGGAGCCCGCTTCAGTAATATAAAGTAGGAACTGTTTTATTTATTACTCAAATGCCGTATCTACAGTGACAAATCATTTCCTCTCACCAGTTACTTAGCTTAATCTCTGCGTAATATCAATACAGTCATCATCATTATCATCATCGACATCAGAATTGACATTGTTACTGTTATTATTATCGTTATTATTATTATCATTATTATTAATATCATCATTATTATTGCTATTATCATTATTACCACCATTTATTGTACAGTCATCATTTTTAGGTTTCAAGCGGATTGTTGACAATGACGTCAAAGATCTACTAGAAAAATTCCAAAACGTCAAACTTGCAGCAATTAATGACAAATTGGACGACATGCCAACTAGGGAGGAGCACGAAAGAGTGATAGAAAAGCTGTTTTCTTTTCACACCAGTATGATGGATAGATTTGATAGAATGGAATCCTTACTTCGAAAAGTTGAGCACAAGCTCGACGGTAAGTTTAAAAACAACTTGTAAAATTTCAGTGAAAAACAATGTTGTAAGACTTTTCTGGTCGCCAACAATTTCACCTACAAAAGTGTGTAAATTTCCCTTTGACACTCGCGAGCGAGTTCATTGGGAACCACGTGGCTAGATACAGATAGATAAGTTGTCATTATTACGTTGCCAAAGTGTGCAGTTTTGCTGATTGGACACGCCAGTACTGTCAAAATGCACGTAATTAAGAATCCTAATCATTCTGTAATTTAAGGGTTTCTAACATAATTCTCATGTCGCACCTTTAACTGCGAACAAAAAAAAAACAAATATAGAAATACACCGAGCGTACTTCGGTTATTTCAAAAAACACACGTCTTTTTTTAATTTCATTAACCCGGTTGCATTTGTTAAATTATGCAGGCATCAGCGTCAGTGCTATAAATCAAGAAGGTAGCAAGAGTGTTCACTCTACAGAATCAAGCGTCTTGTCTACAGACGCCACTTCTAAAGAAACCCGCCAAATGAGTGAAGAGGTAACATAATCTGATAACGGATAGTTTCCAGTCAAAATCTCAGATTTAGACAAAAACATAATTTATTTACTGAAGCTGATATGAAATCGTGTGGTTGTCGGGTTTGCCAGGCCTAGAACTCGTGTTGATGAAAAATCAGCATTGTGTTAGCTACGATGTACACTAACAGGAGGATAGAAATCATGTTTTAAATCACCCGAGAGAATCAAAACAAGAGGACAATTAGATAGACTAAGAGTTATAGAAAGGTTTTCGAAATGACAGTGCCCATTACCTTCGACAGTCCTTCTCCGCGGAAAAACTATACAATCAAATATCACTCATGGGCTCAAACCATTACTGAAGAAAAGTTAACTTGCTATGCAACTTTTATTCGAATGGCAGACCCATACGGAAAACAGGACTTAGTGTAGTATACTATACCTGTAACGTGCAAATGTTTCCTTAAAAAAAAGAAATTTTTACTTGGAATGCGTTGACTTTAAAATTGCCTTTCTTCCCCCAGAACAAAAACCCAGAATCGACATGTAAGCTTCGAGCGAAAATTGCCAAAGTAAGTCAAGTACTAAATTGTGTGACAGTTTTATGATGCAGTGTATGCATTAACATTGAAGTCACATTGTGTTTAAATAAGAGGACTAGTTCGATGTTATGTCTGTTATCCTTTATGCGGACATCTCAGAAAAGTTAATTTCGTCTTTTTGGATTCGATGTATCCCGGACCAGGAGTCTCCCTCTCTGCCCTCTAGTTTTCTCCTTGATCTGGAAAGTGGTGATAATCAGCGGATTTATACGTTTCGGATAGCCCTATTAATAATCAAAATTTGGCTTAGGAAATCAGCGCCTGGGACGTCATCTAGCTACAGATTGTACAATAATCATGTGAAGGAAAGGACACTGAAGGTCACGGGTAATCATCTCATGTACGAGCGCGGTGCATGATTTCTAAGGGTAATTATGTTAAGTTTGCGCGCTTGGCGTTGCTCGCTGATTTGTGTATTTCTACACGTTTAGAAATGAACTATTAGTCCCACTTACTGTCGAGACCATTTTTTTTTCGCTTAATGTATGATAATACAATTATTAGGTACGGTTTTTGTGATATCCAGAATAATCAAGGTCTCGGTAAGAGTAATCAGCCTCAGCTTTCAATTCGGCCCACCTCGACGTCGATTATCAGTCTGGATATCACAAAAACCCATCCAACAGTTGCTGTCTTACCAGCAATGTGGTACAAAAGTTGTCCTATTTTTACAGTTGTCAAGGCGAACACTGCACAAAGCTGCTGTCAGTGGCCGATGTGACTTTATTAAAGTACTTCTTGAAAATGGTGAAGATGTGGACCAGATGGATGAGGTTGCTCGCTCGATTTTGCGTTTAAATGTGTCTGTTTTTGTCCCCTTTGTATCCGAAATTGAAAAGTATTTTAGCTTTACCAGATGCTCTGCTTTGATTTTGCAGTTCAGTTTGACGCCTCTTCACCTTGTTGCATGGTATGGGCAACGAGGTGTTGCAGAACTCTTGTTAAAGCATGGTGCAAATGTCAATGCTGTGGATAGGGTAAGTTGGTAAATACTCATGTTTGTCTTTTGGAATACGTCAGATATACGGTATTAATAAACAACTTCAGGCAAGCAAAGACTTCTATAAGTTGTTGAAACCTTTCTTCAGTCAATTGTTTCTCGTGTCCAGGAATATTCATGTTGTTGAGGGATTTGCAGTTACTTCAATATATTTTGACCTTTGCAAATTGACAATTTTTTACCTTTCAGTTTCAAAAAACAGCGCTACAGAAAGCTGAACGCAACAATCACCGATCCATTATTGAGCTTCTTCTGAGGAATAAAGCGAGTCCCAGTTACAACCAACCGGTATGGTCAAATCTTTATTCCTCTTTCATGTTTTGTTTTGGAACTGCCTCTAAAACATCTTTCCATACATAGAGGAACATCAGGATAACTCGATAAGATTTAGCAAACGTCTCTTTTCTTTACGGTTGTTTACTACCAGTTTGCAATAGTTTTCTGTTTTGTGCACGGCTTCTTTTTTATGGTCTTAGCGTCTTCTTCCATAAATACCGAATAGCAGGGTATAAATTTTGTTGTTCACATGCGCTCCGTTCAACCTTAGAGTGTTCCACCGCGAAGAGGTTTAAAATATGACTCATAGAATCTTAATCGAAATATAATCTATGTCTTAATTACTTAAGATTGCGATGCAACATTGCCATTTTCAGTGTTTTTGAATAATAACTTTTAGATGATCGACTAGTTTTTTTGTTAAGTATTATGTTGAACTCGTCATGACATACCATACCTGCATCAGTGTCACACAAGACAGACGCATCTACATGAGCTGAATCGTTTGATGTTAACCTAAGAACTATTTTTCTGTTACGAATTTTTGTTTTTCTGTTTTTGATAAATTATTAACTACAACCTATTTTTCATTACAGCCTAGCCTACTGACCCTTTCAAGAAAAGCTTTTCTCCATGTAGATGCACAATCCGGCTTCAATAGAATGCAGGCCGCTGTATTTCATGGCGACTATGACACGCTTTGTACAGCTACTATCTATCTTGGGAATGTTGTCCAAGACATGAATTTACAAAAAACAGGAAGCCAAGCAAAGGCATTTCCTGGAAAAACTGCGTTAGAGATTCTCTTGGCTCTCCAAGAAAAAGGAGAAGGAAATGTTAAAATAGAAGAACTGTATAAAATGGAAGTTGAGAAGATCGACACATTAACTGAGCTGCACTTGTGTAAAGACAACAATGATGTAGAGAAGGCTGTCGAGATTGTTCTAAACGAGGGTATGGATATAAACATACCAGGAAAAAGCAACCGTACGCCTTTGTTGTGGGCAAGTCCATCAGTCTCTGGTGAGTTTATTAAGACCCTCATTGATCTTGGAGCTGACATAAATGCTCAGAGGACAGACGACAACATTGCACCTTTGTCTTTAGCAGCTGATTGGAACAACTACATGGCCGTTGACATCCTTTTAAAGCATGGAGGCAATGTGGGTGTTCCAAGTCTCTCAAAAACGGTGGGATTGCATGGTTGTGCAGAAAGCGGATTCTTGAGTGTCTCCCGGTTACTAATTGATTCAGGATGCGACATCAATTTGCGCAACAACAAAGGCCAAACCGCGCTTTACTTAGCCGTCAAAAATAAACACAAACACATTGTCAAATGTTTGCTTGAAAGAAAAGCGGATGTGAATGTGAAGTACAATGAGAATGCAAGTGAGAGAATTTACCTTGTTCGTGGGAAGGACAGAGGAAAACCAGCGTGGCATTATGTCCTAGTAGAGAAAGCTTTGTTGTCCTTGTTCTTGAGGCAGAGTAATGGAAGTAGTCTTGACGTTGCAGACTTTGGATTCGTCCTCACGAGTGGATGGGGAAAGGGTCCTCCGGAGGACGCACAGAAGAATATCAATGAAATGGGTGCTATCTTTCCTGACACACAAAGTCGAACAGTTCTACATGTTGCCAGCAAAAGTGCTAGTCTCGAGATCGTTGATCTGCTAGTGAAATACAAAGCAGATATAAACGCGAACGACATGGACGGCTTTACCCCACTTCATTTGGCTGCGATGTATGGCAACATTCAAGTTGTTAAAAAACTGGTTGAAACCAACGCCGACGTTAACTTGAAAGTGGATGGAAAGGATGCGGCTGACTTGGCTCGCATGAACGAAGAAACAGAAATTGAGGAATACCTTAAATCAAAAAGAAGCCTTCCCCAAAGAGACTCGGAAAGTCGATCGGCGCTAAGTCAACTGGCGGAAAGTCAATAGGCGGAAAGTCAGTGAGCGGAAAGTCAACCGGCGGAAATTCAACCGGCGGGAAGTCAATCGGTTTTAAAAGTTGCCATAAAAGGGGCCGGACAAGGCTTAAAGTACTTTGAACATGGCGTAAAGTTCCTCGAGAAAAATTTTAGTGAATTTATGCCGTTCACCCTTTTTTCAGATTTTTCAGCACACGATCTTTGTTTTACATATAATCAGCGCAACGAAGAATTGTTTCAAGGCAAGATCATCGTGAAGATTTAATTTCATAACAGTGTGGCACTATTATTTCCATCGCCGTGTTAACCAAAATTCATTTAATATTTTGGATCAGTTAATGTTAATTTGGTTTTTCAAATTATTTTGACTTTCTTTGAAGGAAAGTTGATTGAAAAAGTGGCAAATAATCGGCTTTATGAAAATCGTGCGGTTATTCGCTTTTGCTTTGTACATATGTGAAAGTTTTATTTCACCTTCACTCATGATATAACAATCGATTCAACGGGTATTTTCACAACGCAATGTAGCGAACAGGGATTCAAAGAAATAATTTTTTTCGAACAGTTTTTCATTAATTTGAAGTAGCTTTTAAATAACCCATGAAGCCAAAAAGAAGGAAAAAAAAGCAAAAGAAAAGAAATTGCAAGCATGGAATTTATATATGTTATTCACCAGACGAGAGGTCCGTAATGGGAAAAACTGTGCCCGAGGTCTTGGATACCACCCGAGGCCGTAGGCCGAAGGCGGTACACAAGACTGAGGGCACAGTTTTCTCCAATACGGACCGACCTTGGCTGGTGAATAACATTTTTATTTTTTTCTAAAACCTAACAAATGGTGCGAAAGAGTCTGAATGATAAAGAGCTGTAATTACAGCAAGATTCTCCATAAACGGAACAATTTATGAGCGAGTAGATGTTAGAGAAAAGAAGGGCAATGCAAATGAAAGAGAGAGGTTTCATCAAAACATATTTATTTACGTATTGATATTAAAAGGTGTATTTCAACACTAACTGATACAAAATTACAAGAGATGTGAGAGATTTGTAGGTGACGACTGAGTGTTTTCATAGTTAGTTTCAACGTCATCAGCCTCTAATTCATTACCAGTCCACGTGACACTTTTAAGACTAAATAAGAGCATGCACTTTAGATCTATATTGTGAAGTTAAAATGATAGACGATATTTGTGGGATCGAACTGAAATACGTTATGATTTCCTCCGGCGCAAGTGTCACGCAATTGTATTTTTACTTTCTCAAACCGGAAGTATCTCATGGAACTTATTGCAACCAATCAGAGCTTCTTCAGATTATAGTTTGATCCTAATCACGTTTCTTAATGCGTGCCTAAGCTTTGAAAAGAAGTTTAGTCCCTCGCATAACATGATGTAGCAAGGCAACTCACTTATCAAAGAGGACGCATCAAAAACACAAAGATCGTAGACGCCATTATAGGTTGCATAGTAACCATAGCGAGTCCCATCGTTCCACTGCGCAAACTCGTATGTTTCACTCGCCACATCGACGCTTAAATCTCGGTAAGAAAGAATTGGAGTATATTAACAAGCAGTAGCTATTCGTTCAGGCATTCCGCCGGTTTCTTTAAGGCGTCAAAATTATCAAGATATTTCTCACTTTAACTTGAATGCTAAGGTAAGTTTAACAGCATTTCCTGAGCTGTGTTAAATCGATACGTATCTGACAGTCGAACAAAATGAGTGCGTGGAGACTTTCGTTTAAGTTATCCCGTATTTACATTTGGTTTTCATACGGAATGCACTCCATTTGGGTTCAGAATTACTGTCTAAGGCAAAGCATTATTTTCTGAATATTCTGTATTGATAAATATTTCTCAAGAGCCGAAAGAAAAGACAAAGAGGACTTAGTTTACCCAAGCTATGGCGAGTAAAGGAAGTAATAAATAATGCTTTAGCAATTGCTTGAGAAGTATCCAGAAGACGAGACTTTCAATTCGTGATAAGCGGCTGAGCATGCATGTTATGATCACTCTGATCAAGCTACTTGGTGAAGACAAAAGCTTGATCCATAAGATGGCTGTTTGGTGCGGAAGGCTAGTTAAAGTTATGATCATTCCAATCAAACTACTCGATGAAGACAAAACCTTGATCCAATAGATCAATGTTTGGTGCGGAAGGCTGTGTTGTCGTGTAATGATGCTTGAAACCAATTACAGAAGGACTCACTCATTTGGAAAACGTACCTTCGATGTCTTAAAATACCGAGCAAAGGACACTTAAATGGAGGTTCAGTGAATTCAGTGGGTAACTGACATTGAAGAAGGAAGGTTCAATTGACCACAAGAAAATGTAGAATAAATTCATGGTAACTTAGCGACGCCAAAATAATTTCAGTTTCGATTCCGTTTGGATCGAAGCCTTGTCAATATTATCATAACAAGTTACTCGACTTGAAACTGCTTAGAATTCCAGCTTCGCGTCACTTTTTTGTTGCAAACCAGCGCCACCTTAGTCCGAGAAGTCCATTCTTTTGGGACATTCAAATTCAATTCCAAATTCGATTTCAGTAATTAAGAATAAAATGACACAAGTTTAAAGGGTAACTGACGGCTAGAAGGTCACTTTTTCGGAATACCGTCTAAATGCCTCAGGTAACACATTGAAACATAAATAAGGTGCTCCGAATGCCTCTTTGTGCCTTTTTTCGCCTGGAAAACTGTCCTAATCGCAGCTTCGTGAGTCATCGCCATGAACGCTTCGATTTTGATCATGTGACCTGTACTTCACACGTGTGTAACACTAAGCAAAATATGGCGCGACAGTAGCTCAACTGAAAGCAGTTCTACTTCTGGGTCCGATTATTCCGATTTTGAGGCCTTTATGGAGGGTGAAGATAATGAAAGAATTTATGAGCCTATTGGTGAAATTAGGCCCAGGCGATTTGAACCGCCAGGACGAACCGAGAATGCAGGGCGAACCGAGAATACAAGGCGAACCGAGAATACAAGGCGAGAGTTGGAAGAGAATCAAGAACCCGTGCGCCGCGGCCGCCTCAATCAGGAAATGGTGTACGAAATACTATCGAATGGTGAGTACAATACGTTTTTAAATATAGTGTCTGAAAATCTGTCGCTTATTAAATATAGAAGCGATCAGTTAAATAAAAACCAAGTGTGCAGACTCCTGAGTAGCTTGGAAGCGAAGTGATATATGCTACACGCAGGCACCTTCCGAAGCTTAGGTTTCACAAACTGAAAATAACACGCTTGTGGAGGTGAATTGGATGGATTATACACGTTTCCACGCGATTGAATCGGTTTTAAGCTTTCCTGTGTTTAATTTGGCGAACGATTATAGATTTCTAGGCTTTTACTTCAAAACACGATGCAGCGAAAAAATAGCATTTGCACATGTAGTATTGAACGAAGTCTTCATAATAACTTATTGTTGATTTGTGGTCTTTGCACCTTGTTTACAGCCTAAAGTTTGAGTTGTCTTTCACGTTTGTGATAGTAACAGGGCTGACAACTGTCCCTTTTGGTGAAAACAATCAAACAAGTTGTGCTCTCTATTTTTCCTATTCAACATCGTGAAAAAACTTGTTACTTTACTGATTGCTTAATACAAGGTGTCGAAACTGCCAAGCGATGGAAAGGGAGGAAGAGAACATCTGTTGCCAAGAAGTAGATGCACTCAGGAACAAAATTTTGGAGGATGTCATGGAGGAACAGTTGCAGGCAGAACCCAGATGTATTGTGCAGCATCCAGGGTTTGAGGCAGTGTGCCTCAATGTCTGGGTTCTGCAGACAGCTTGGCTACAATACAAGCAGCAGTATGGCTCTTCTGCTTATGAGGGGCCTGAGGATAAGAAAACCGCCACAATGCTTACAGGCAACTAGTCAGGTGGTGTTGGGCTACTCTGGGCAAAAATATCTGGGTCCCTTTGCCTTCTTGTGCTGTGAATTGCATACGTGCCCACTTCCCACAGCCCAACCAGCCGGAGGAGGACATGGTTTTTACTGGTTTTACTTATGCAGATTAGTAAACTTTAGTGCCAGGGTTGAATTTGTCTTTTCTTTACTTTTTGGTTTTGCCATTAACAATTTTCTCCAAAATATAAGTTTTTATCATACATCTACATGTATTCTTGTCATTGAAGAAACCTTTACTTATGTCACTAGGAGGTAACTTTTGTTTTCGAAGTCTCCCTTAGGAGCTCAAATTAGCTGAAACTGGCACATTCTTGAAACAATTTTTTTCTGATACATGCTTTTATTTGAATTCACACAAAATAACCCTTATCCAATTTACAATGATATTTCAGGTTTTAAAATCACAAGAATTTAAATATTGGTTTTTATTTACTTTGGTCAACTAGTTCACCAGATTAGTGTGGTTGTATCGGCTGACGTAATTCTGAACAGCCTCTTCTTTGTCAGGTCTCTGTGCATTTGCAGTAAGGGGTGGTGGAGTATTGATGGCCAAGTTTGTCACATACTCCTTGCAATTCCTTGGATTTGCCTCATATTTTGCAAATAAGTCCTTTATAATGCTGTAGCAGTAATCTGTAAATTGAAATGCATTATTAATTTCCTTCTTTGTTCTTTATGAGGTGGACCTTGAATTCATTGTTTTTCATGGCCTCCAAATTGAGCTAATTTTCAAAGGCTAATTCTTTGCTTGTGTTATTCCATAAGCTAAAAAGAGCAATCTCTAACTTCCTGTGGCCCATCTACATCATACCCACCATGAGAAGCTTGTGTTTTGATTTTTCTGATTGCATGATCTCCTTTTTTAGCTTTTGGAAATACAACTGAGTAGCCTGGCCTGCCTTCATCTGTCACTGCCTGCATCCTGTCTGCATTGGTGTTGTAATGCAGGGCAGAAAGGCACAATCTGTTAAATGATTTAAATATAAGTGAAGATCCCAGGGCAATGTTTGCAACTTTGTGATCTGCAAAACTTGTAAAGAACCAAACAGAGTGAGAATTGCAAAGGGAAATAGTCAAACCTAGTATACATCCCCCAATAAGAGAAGGCAGTATGCTTTGGCACAAAGTGGACGTCCAGGCTGTGCTTGGCTTCCAGAGTAGATGTCTGGTATTTTGGGGATAGTTATACTACATCCTTCAGCAGTTGAGGCTTCAGTAACAACTCCTCCAGTTTAACAGCTGGGCATGAGCCTATGAGATATGAAATCATATAATTGTAAACTCAGTGCTTCAAATTACAATTGAATGTATTATGAACAGTATAAAGGTACCCTTAGGCATTCGAAAAATCTTTACATTGGTAAGTTTCTGTTGTACACAACTTTAATTTCTGTCCTTACACAAGAAATGATGAAAACAAAAGTTGTTTTATTTTTTTTGTCAGGTGTAATATATAGCAATTACTATACCTGGTTGCAGCCAAAGCCGATCAGTTGCATCTCCTTGCAGGTTGCCATGCCCACATTCAGGATATAGATCACTCTCTGCATTGACATGAATGTTTTGAATGTGTAATGGTAGTATTTTCCATTTTTCTTGTATGACTTTGCCATTTCCATCAGGTGTCGAAGCTGCACACCAATACATGGGATTGGAAATGGACTGGCGTCACTCACCAATTCGTCATAGTCCTTTTTCTTGGCAAGCTTGTTGATCTTTTTGCACAAGCCTGGGTAGGCCAAAGGAATATATTTTAAAATTCCATAAATTAACTGCAAGCTCCTTCAAAAACAAGGGACCACATCCTATTTTTGTTGAGATGCATAATTAATGAGAACACATAGTACATCTACCTTTCCATACATGCCATATGTCAAAGTAATGGGTTGTATTTGGCAGATTTCGTTTAATCCAGACAGTGTTCTGTTTGTGCCTGTCTGTGATTGATTCAGCAATACTCAGTCCTGAATCTGTAATTACTTTTACAGCCCTCACCAACCCTTCATGCTCCATCCAGGCACTATTTCTAACCTCATTACTCTGCAGAAGAAAGAAAATTTTCACTGTTACTAATATTGCAGAAATAGTGATAAACATCTTTGCAATCAGGAATGCTAACCCATAGCTTTAAAGTTTTCAACCATTACATGGGAAAGTTTCAAACCTGAACCAGCTGAAAATCTACCACTCTGTTGACCCTCTTTCCAATCAATGTGAAGGAGCCAAACTTAGCAGAGTACCCTGGGGAGTAGCAGCACCCATCACCTGCCAGTATTAACTCATCGTTTTTATCAAGGAATTCATTAATCAGATCTTGCTGATGCTCTTTCACTGCTGTATAACAACTGCATTACGATAAGAGCTGGTTTGGTGATAGAAGGTACTAGTACATTCAGAAATGGTTGCTACATTCATTAACTTCAGCATCCTTAAGCTTTTAGCAGTACTAGATCCTGAGAAGCAATCAAATGCATTTTAAGAACAAGTCTTTGTAAGAATCAAACATCTTGGGAAATTAAAATTTTCAACCCCCCTTCAAATTTTGCATGCAGTTAGGTGCTCAGGGGGGATGCCCAAAAATTTTCGCAGCTTGTTGTTGCCATGGTAACAACGGCTGCTTGTTCAGGGCCTGAGGCGTCGTTTTCGTACAAAAACGTCGCAAAAAAAGAGTGAAATGTTTATTTCTCTATCTCAAGTTAAATACAACATCACAAATTGGCACTTCTACCATACATAGTAACATCATTTGTCTTCACTTTGATACATTTAATTTTCCCTGGGAGTGAATGTGAACACAACAACAGATTATTTATCTCGGTACAGTTTCGGTCATTTTTGTTGTCTGGTAAAACAGGGAAAACGTTAATCTGAATTTCTCCAAAAGTACACCGATTCTGGAACTGAAACTAATCACCTAGCTGGTTATAATATTCTAGTTTTTGAATATGTAAAAATCTCTGCGGGCCTGCCTCTACTTTTTATATGATTGGGCAATTCACGAAAAAAGCTCAAAATCAGATATTGCATAATTTGGCGATGTTTGCATCTAATATTCTCAACAACAAACGTTTCAGACAAATGAAACGTGCGAGGCTATGAAAGAATGTTATCTTATGAGCAATATCCCGAAGAGAAATCTCGTCTCTGGTTGTCATCTTTTAAAGAAAATTGATCAACCTTCATGGAGGATAACTCGACGTAACTACAAACATATACCTCAAATCGTGTGCATATCATCCAGATTCCGAGTGCTGCACCTTCTTTCATGAGAAATTGAGCAATCCGAAATCCTCTGAAGATACACTGTTATACTTGTATTTCATCTGAAACATGTTGAAGTCGGCGGATCTACACGAAACTATCCGCAGTCACACCGGTCATTTGTCATAAACATGTACGTTATCACGATGCTGTATTTCTCCGTGAAATTTCCATCGGTCGCTCCAAAGAAGACGAGAAATGGATATTTTTCATATATTTTAGCAGATTTCCGCTTCCTGAAGTAAAAACAACCAAAAAAAAAAAACAGGAAAACTTCGATTGAACGCTCGTAAACACTGAGAGTATAAATCGTAACTTGTCAGCGGCACTACTACATGTAAAACTCAGTTGCAATCGCAATTTGAACGACATAGGCAACTCCTTATAGCAGATTCGGGCAGTTATCATTTCCTTGTGACAGAAACTAAGATATTTCGAATCATTTGTCAGAAAATTTGCATAAGATATGACGAGAAACACTGCCGCAGTGCAAGAATATTTCGAAATAAAAGATTTAATGAAACCATAATGTCGTGATTCCACCTTTCAAACAACTTATTATCCATCAACGAAACTCCCCATGGTTACACCAAAATATCTTTTTTTACAAGCTTAAAGAAAGATGAATATAACGCAATTTCCTAAAAAGGTCTCTTTAAATTTCCCCGTCACCGGGAAAAAAAGGAGATCGTTCGGTCCAGTAAAATTATCAAGCTAATAACTGAGAAGATTGTGCCCTTTGGTTCATGAGTGACAGCATTAATTATTTCAAATCTGTATTTCTTGGTCCAAGCGACACTAAAAATAGTTCCTTTGTAATTTGGAAGCACTTTCTATAGCATTTTATTGTCAAGGGAAATAAATCTCAAGGCTCAAAGCCAATATAACGTTCGAGCACGTGAAAGACTCCCTGAAAAAAGCTAAATTTTTGGACATTGATTGTGATGAAATCCCTGTTCCGTTTGCTGTACTGCAGGGATTCTGAGTAGTTCAAAATCTCCTCTCGGTGATGATTTTCGCGCAAGTCGTACAAATTTCAAGTGTGGCGACTGGGTTTCACATATAGTACTGCCGCTAACAAGTTGCGATTTCTGCTCTCAGATTCTCAGTGTTTACGAGCGTTCAATCGCGCTCTTTTTTTTTTGGGTTGTTTTTACTCAGAATGCGCGGAAATCTGCTGATATATCAAAAAATTTCCATTTCTCGTCTTCTTTGGGGCGACCGATGGATACTTCATAGAGAAATACGTACAGCGTCACGCCATCGTGACAACGAACATGTTCATGACAAATGACCGGTGTGAGGATAGTTTCTTGTAGATCAGCCAACTTCAACATGTTTTAAATGACATACATGTATCTTCAGAGGACTTCATATCGCTCAAATTCCCATAAAAGAAGGTGCAGCACTCGGAATCTGGATGATATGCACACGAATAGAGGTACATGTTTGTAGTTACGTCGAGTAGTCCTCCATGAAGGTTGATCAATTTTTTTTAAAAGATGACAGCCAGCTGTGAGATTTCTCATCGGGATATTGCTCATAAGATAACATTCTTTCAAAGCCTTGCATGTTCCATTTTTCTGAAACATTTGTTGTTGAGAGCATTAGATGTAAACATTGCCAAATTATGCAATATCTGATTTTTAAGCTTCGTTCGCGAATTGCCCCTATAAAAATTAGAGGCAGGCCCACAGAGATTTTTGCACATTTAAAAACTAGAATATTATAACCAGCTAGGTGGGCAGTTTCAGTTCCAGAATCGGTGTACTTTTGGAGAAATTCAGATAAACGTTTTCCCTGTTTTACCCGACAACAAAAATGACCGAAACTTTACCGAGATAAATAATCTGTTGGTGCATTCACATTCACTCTCAGGGAAAATTGAATGAATCAATGTGAAGATGAATGATGTTTTTTACGACGTTTTTTGTGTGAAAATGAGGCCTCAGGCCTCGAACAGGCAGTCGTTGTTACCATGGCAACAAGAGTGCTGCGACCTTTTAAAAAGGGCATTTTTGTGCATCCCCCTTGAGCACCTAACTGCATGCAAAATTTGAAGGGGGGTTGAAAATTTTCATTCCCCAAGATGTTTGATTCTTACAGAGACTTGGTCTTATAATAACTGAAATTAAGTACACAAATTGAGCAGACATAGTCTTACTATACCGACAAATCATTTCGCTCTGGTGCAGGGCCTTGAATTCTTGACTTTCAATTTAACTTAAAACGAAACAACATTTCCTACGAATTAAGGCACTAACCTGAAATAGAGGCTGACAACTATAAGTTACCTTAAGGCATCTGACCTTTAACAAATGGCTGGCTGAACCACATTTGAGAGAACTGACACGACTTCTCGTCAGCGCAACGCTGGTTGATTTTAACCATAGTGTCGATAACTTTGATGATATTTGATGCGCTTCTGCAGGACCAGCACATATTGGGCAGGAAGCAAACAAGCTCAACAAGTTCTTCTCGAACACAATGAATTTCCTCTCCACGTAAGGTTTCACATTTTCCTTTTTACTCGTCCAAGACCTGAGTTTTATGATAAAAAAAAGTCACAATGTAATGTCAGGAAACAAATTCTCTGAAAAATAACACACTTGACAGTATTAAACGACCTTGACACGCCAGGAACGAGGTGGAGATTATTACTCACTGTTGAGGTTTTACTTAGTCGGTCTCGTTCTCATCTTCCTCCGGTATATTATATAGTATATCCGATTATACTTATAGAAGGAGTATAATCCTCGTCATCAACTTCTTCATCCTCAAATGGCTCCATCTCAGCACTCTCAAGAATTATGGGGTTAATTTTTCTTTTGGTATCTCTATCGCATTCAGTTGGTAGAAGAGATAGTGGGGGTAAGTTGGCAATGTTGCGCTGCATACCATTTTCAATGAAAATTGCTTTCCTTGCAGTAGCTTGTATACCTGTTGGGTTAAAAAAAAAAACCCCCAAAAAAACAAAAAATAGGGAACGTTACGCTACGATTTACCCCTGAACATTGGTTTAATTCTAAAGGGTACGTTAATGGTAAATACCTTTACTTCGACAAGGAGGACGCCGGTTGCCTTTCTAAGTACCCTTGTTTGCCGTTACGACTTGTTCCTTAACTGAACGAGAAGCTTCATTTTCAGCACTTCTTGTGTCATGTAGTTCATCCAGGACTGCTTCACAAGTGCTGGTAGACGATGTGGAAACTGATACGTTATCTTCACAGATGCAATCAAACTCAACCACCGACTGTTTTTTTCAAAAATACATTACTACTTTAGTGACCAAAGCAACTAATTTACAAACATAAACTGACACCAGGTCTACAAAAGCAAAGATAAGCAGAAGCGAGAAATATCTTTCTCATACCCTGTTTGCCGTTAGTTTTGATAAGGCCCGGCTTTGTCGTTTTGGTGTAGTGTAAGTCTCCTGTGTGATCACGGAGCTCAAGTCTTCTACCCTCAATTTTTCGTTAGACAGTGAGAGTTTTCTTTTTATTCTTCGAGCTTCGTTTATTTGCTCAGGAGTAGGAGACACTTGAATAGAAGGAACTGCGGGCTTCTTTAACACTAGCTTAGAGCTAAATCCAGCCACTTTTGCGCCGAATCTTTCGTAGTCGTCAGCTGAGAAATGGTCGCTGCAAATGTGACCCGAACCTGGTGTCCAACTATTACGTTCTCTTGTTGTTCGCACAAATGCAATCCATTGTCGCCCCAAACTTTCATCAGCTGGAAGCTGGTGAAGACTGACTCCGTCTGCATTTGTTTTGTTACAAAACATCACTAAACAGCGCTTCCCTGGTTTCCGTTTTTTTCGTTTTACATCCTGTTGTTTTCCGTCCATATTGTAAAAGTCAATGCGGCTTGTTTTATTTACGATAAACGAGCGAAAGTAATTTACTGTTCACTCAGCTGACAATAACACATTTTTGAAACGAGTATCCTTTCGGACAAAATTGATTTTATCATGTTTCCGGTCGCAAATGCGAAACAACGCTTGAGTGTGTCGTTCATAACAAGGCGTTTCTTGCAACATCCGTTTACAGCACTGAAGAACTCTCCGCTAGCGTCGAAAGAAATAAACGAAAAGTTACAACAGCAAGGAGTCTTCCTTTGCGCTGCTCACTAGTCTCCGTAAAAAAAAAATTTAAAAAAGGATAAATTTGTAGATTTCCGGAACGTGGAAGAAGAGTTTCGTTCACGAGACCAGATGACAACCTCCTATAATACGCGACAACACTTTGCGCTTAGTCGCGCTTACTCCAGAACCTATGGGCCTGAGGTCACAGTGATATACACTGGATGAAATCTAAAGCCAAATACTTTTCCGCTTGTACTAAAAGATAATTCTACGAGCATAGGACTCGAAAATGGTTAAAAGGAAAAAAAAAAGGATTATATATTTTTTTACGGCTATTTGGAATGGCGTGCAATTTATCTGTGGCTCTGAATACAGACACGCGATCCCTCGCGTTTCGATTATTCAACCTTCATTATTTTATTTCTCACTTCGTATTTCATAGTCTCTAAATGGTGGCTTATAACAGAATGGAACAAATCTCTTTATTCTTTCCACTCGTAAATTTCGGCAGCAGCCGGACAGCGAGGGTGAAGTTGTTACTTTCAGGTCTTACATGACTCTTTTCACTGCCTTACACACGTGTGACGTATCACATCACGTGACCTAAAATCAGGACGTTTTCAAAATGGCCGTCGATTGAGCGTCAAAAAAAATTATAGAAAATTTGGTTTTGCGCAATATTTCATTAAATTGCTCATTTAGGATTCTTCAACGTAAGAGGAATGTATTGGGACAAAAAAAAAAAGAAAAAAATTGGCGTCAGTTACCCTTTAACTAATTTCTCCTTTGGAACGTTCAGGAACCTCGTAGTGTGTATGTTTTTAGTTGCTGAATCTGTCTCTTAGTCAGTCCGGCGTTTCACTAGTTGCTTAAATCAGTTGCTCCTAAAGCATTTCCTATCACGTTGTGAGTAGCGTCAAGTTCTGACTCATTTCATTTCCTAATTTAAAGAACTCCCCTTTTGGTCTTCATTATTAAGGATTACAATTAACGCTTTCCAAACTATTTTGTGTTTTCCAAAATAGCATTTTCCGTGAAAAATGGACCTTTTAGACATATTTTTCATATCGATTCCGCAAAATATTGTGCTTTTTTCCAGACAAAGTGAAATGTTGGCTTTAAAGCAGCACTATTTAAGCAAAAAACACGGAAATTTCTCCTATTTGATAAAAGCAAAACTCTTCAGTTTTCACGAATTAAGAAAATGTGCTGCTTCAAAAGAGCAACATTTTGTATAATTCAACGGAAAGTTAAACGTAGGTACAATTTACTCGTACAAATATTCTTTTTTTTACTGCGTTGCTTGTTAAATCTGGTCAAAGTGCACATAATGCTCTGCGCGTTTAAGAATGGAACTATAAAGTCTTTGATTTTAACCCTTAATATGTTTAAGCGGTTTTTTTTTTTTCATTTTTATTTGACATGGTATCAAGAACTGTAATGCAGAAATTCTGCAAAGTTTGACGGCCCAAGCGTGCAAAAATTCTGCACGCCTTGACGTCCAGTGCTGCAGAAATTCTGCATGGTATGGCGTCCAAAGAGGCAGAAATTCTGCAAGGTTTGACGTCCAGTGCTGCAGAAATTCTGCACGCCTTGACGTCCAGTGCTGCAGAAGTTCTGCATGGTATGGCGTCCAATGATGCAGAAATTCTGCAAGGTTTGACGTCCAGTGCTGCAGAAATTCTGCACGCCTTGACGCCAGTGCTGCAGAAATTCAGCACGCCTTGACATCTAGTGCTGCAGAAATTCTGCACACCTTGACATCCAGTGCTGCAGAAATTCTGCACGCCTTGACGTCCAGTGCTGTAGGAATTCCGCACGCCTTGACGTCCAGGGCTGCAGAAATTCTGCACGGTATGACGTCCGCAGCAGCAGAAATTCTGCAAGCAATGACATCCTGAGTTAAAGAAATTTTATTCGTTGCAAGGTCAATGCTAGTTGAAATAACAATACTGTGTATGCTGATGTTTTTGAATGATAGGATAAACTTGTGAAAATAAATCCACGGTTGGAAACTAAAGGCTATTAACAGAGGCCCATACCCGCTTTATTAAACAGAACTATTCATAAATCATGCAGGCTTTTAATCAAATGCCAAATGGTAAGTTGTTGAAAGGAAATTAATTTTCTCTTCCCTGCAAAAAAAAAAAAAAAAAATCTAATTGAATTTTTTGTACACATTCAGGATGAGCTCTTAACACATTTAAGATTCTTTTTAAAGTTTGTTTTCAAATTTTTTAAAATTTCATTTAATCAAAGAAAAGATGGAAGTAATCCTGTCTTGGCATAAGGAGAGCTCATCTGTTGCAGAATAGGATGATCTGTTCATTTTTAAAGAAATTTAAAATTAGATGACCTTGGAATGAGGACACTTGAAGCCGAATTTACATCGCCATCACTGAGTGACGATATCGTCATTAATTGATATGAGATAAATGTTTTTCCTCGAAGTTACCCGTTCAATAATTTTGATTTCAACTGACGATGCAAGATTTAGATTTTTGACTCCTCTTCCTTCTGTTCACAAGGCGATGCAGTACTGTTGATCCAATAGTATCCAAGAAAATTAGTCTTTCACTGCTCACACATAATTGTCTAGGTGTCATTTGCCTTGAAACAGACCAGTGTACAATTACGGGGTTTGTAAGGCCTCCTTCTGTACATATGGATCTGAAAAATTAAAAAGAAAGTGAAGTTACATCACATGGACATTTCAAAACAGGATGTATGAATTCATCAACACTATCTTGACTATGATTTGAACAGGTCTTGGTGTAACTAGGCTAGCTTGGCTTTCGCGCAGATAATGTTTTACTGAAGTTTAGCTGTACTGAACCTTTCGTATAACCGTGGGTTTATTGAAGCAAATTGAAACGCATCCCTTCAGTAAATTCGTTGGAACTAATTTGTCCTGAGAGAGGACTAGTAAGATATTGCAGGCCTAAGACGAATTTTCAAAAAATCAGTTCATGCTTCATGGACATAAAAGAGAAAATTTCTAATCTCTCCTCTTATGTTCATGGTTTCAGGGAAATCTTGAGGTTTTCACGCTATGAAAAAAAAAAAAAGAAAAAAAAAAAATTTCAGGTTCAAGTATACTTCAGGCCTCATACAATTTCGTAAATTCACGAATAACGTTAACCTTTCAGTAAAATTCACACGTCGCATTATAACTTTGGCCTTCATCACGCGTCACGTATAAACCCTTAGTGATGCACCAGTTTATTCATACCTTAAGTTTCCTCTCAGAAAGTGATTCTGCACAGGGTCCAGCAAAGGAATGTGATGACTTTTGCAAAAAGTCCGCACCAATTATTTTTTTGGAGAAAAGGTAAACTCTTGTTCCTGTTCTGTAAAGATACGCAGCTCCTGATTGTGTTATTTTGATGCACCATACTTCCAATACTCCCATTCCCCTTATATTTCGGAGGCATCTGGCGTATGAAGAATTTAACGGACGCAAATGAGATGTGAGTTAGTTCAAAGACCAACTATTTTCAAAGCCGACAGACCGATGAATCATGAACTCGTGTCTTCTTATCATTGCCTCTCTTGTAATAAAATTTAGGGCGCAATTAAGAGCGGCGAAGAGAGAGTCGCAAACAACGACATTTCTGTCTGAGGTTTTCACACCTTCAAATCAATTAAGAATATGACATTTTCCCATGAGTGCTAATCTAATCAACTTAAAGCTTCCTTGATTCTTTCTCTTGCTCGTTAACTGTTCGAAATACCTTGCAATTGTTAGGCCTTGTCCACACTAAACCTTTTTAAGCTCAGAAATTTGAGGTTTTTTTTTATAACCATACTAAGGAAACAGATCTATTTTTCTTCATCCCGGCGGGCTATAAGTACACTGGCGGCACATTGGGCATGCATTCAATTATGGTAAATAATAAAACTAAAGAGCCGCGACGCCGGCGGTTTTGAAAGGCACCGATTTCGCTCAATGAATACTGACCTCCACATGCTTAGCGCTCACGGTAGGCCTAGTTAAAGATATGAAAGTCTCCATTCGTTTGCATTATATACCTAATTGGCGAGTATAGGGTTAGTATTTAGATTAGAACTCGTAAGCTGTGCATTGTGCAATTTCACCAACGAGGGACAAAAGTCCCTTCAACCTATTGTTTTACAAACCGCCGACATCCGCTCGTAATATCCCAAAAAATCGTAGAATTGGGCTTTAGTCAGTTTTGTTTGCTGTGCGCTCTCGTCAGACTCTGCGTGGAGTTAATTTGTATCCGTCGAACAAAAATATTTCAACCGATGATGGCGAGGACACCGGAAACATATCCCAGTTCTACGAGCCATGATAATTTTTACGATTCGGGAATCACCACCAGAGGAAAGACATCCCAATGAAGATCAGTGGGTTGACTTCGATGACTCAAACAATTCTTTGAATGCAGGATCTTTCATTTATGGAGAAATAATTCCGGATTTAGAGAGTCAATTAGAAATTGAAGGTAAAGTTAAGATCACTTGAATACAAAGTATCACAAGCAGCAATTCAGTGTCGATAACTTTTCAAATTTCAAGGTTGACAAGAGGTCAGAAGTATGCAAGTGTGACAGGTAACGCGAACTTCAGTCGTAATGTATCGTAACGATAAATGTAATTTAGTGTTATCAACTGAGTTGACAACGTAAATTGGCCACTGTAAAGAATTTAAAGGCTGACGTTTCGAGCGTTCGCCCTTCGTCAGAGCGATTGGGTAACGATAAATATAGAGCGATTAGGTAACGATAAATATAGAGCGATTAGGTAACGATAAATGGTCTGAGTGAAACTTTGTTTGCCAGGCACAAGTTTGCGATCTCATTGATATAGATACAATTTTACCTAACGCTTATGGAATTGTCATCTCTTAAGTCTATCTCTTATTTATGAATTGTATGTTTTCAGTCCTCGATGGAGATGTAAAACCCAGAAACATTTGATAAAAGCACATTTTAGGCCAATTTTGTTGTTGCGAAAATTGATACGATGCATGATTCACTTCGGTTGAATTACGCTTCGATAAACATTTATTAGTGAATTATTTCAGATTTCTTGGATTCCGTCGTTGTTTTCAATGCAGAACCCGGCCAAAACCAGAAGGCGCCCTCACAATGGCTTTGTAGAGTGGGTCTTCAGTACATTATCCCTTTCATTGGTTTGTGACTTATTAGGCAACATTGCACGGTTTGATTTTTCTTAGTCTGGAAACAGTTGCAGCTGACAGAGAGAGAGGATTATTTTTCCTAGAGGCTTATTTTTGCCCTCTTATTGAGATACACATGTAGCATTGTTACCTACTGTAAACATTGGTGGAGATATGAATTAAAATCTGTGATACTGGTAATTTAGTTTTCCTCTGAGTAGTGAACGGTTTAAAGTTTTCATCAGAAGGTTGAGCATTAATTTCCCTGTAGTCTTTTGCAAGACAATGCAAGATTTAAATCATATATTTGCTCTCAATTCATCACGTATAATGATATATTAAAATAGGTCAAAGGACTGAAATCGTGACTATATTTTGGCAAGAGTAGATTGCTTATTTGCTGTATAACAAACTTCAATTTTAGTAAATTAATGATATTTTTCAGTCAGTTTTTGTATCTGATCACAAAATAAAGTAATATGACTTAAATTGTATGTTGTATTGCTTACTTTTTTTAACATTTTTAATATTCGCATTTTATCATGTGGCATTAAGCCATGTGCTATTTTAGGTACATAATTCCTGTTGAAAGTTAATTGACAGAATATTCGTGGCATCTGTTATTGACTGGCTAGAGAAAGACTGTTATATTCCTGTATCCATGAGTGAATTTCTGCAACATCTAGTGAATGAGAGGATGCAGAATTTCTGCAACATCCAGCGTATGAGTTGTCACAGTGTTTCTGTGACATTCAGTGACATTCTGTGACATTCTGCAATACCTTGTGAATGAGAGGTTGAAGAATTTTTGCGACACTCAGTGAATGAGTTGTTGCAGAATTTCTGCAACACCCAGTGTATGAGTGGTCGCAGAATTTCTGCAACACCTGGTGAATGAGTGGTTGCAGAATTTCTGCAACACCCAGTTTATGAGTGGTCGCAGAATTTCTGCAACACCTGGTGAATGAGTGGTTGCAGAATTTCTGCGATACCCAGTGAATGAGTGGTTGCAGAATTTCTGCAACACCCAGCGTATGAGTTGTCACAGAATTTCTGCGACACCCAGTGTATGAGTGGTTGCAGAATTTCTGCGACACTTAGAGTATGAGTGGTCGCAGAATTTCTGCAACACTCAGTGTATAAACGGTCGAAGAATTTCTGCAAAATCCATTGTGTGAGTGGTAGCAGAATTTCTGCGACATCCAGTGGACTATTGGTTGCAGAATTTCAGCAACACACAGTGCATGAGAGGTTGCAGAATTTCTGCAACATTCAGTGACTGACTGTTAGCAGATTAGACGGATTACCTCTGCATCTTTTCATGATTGTCCATTAACACATAGTTTCTTACGGACGCCCTTAATATTGCAGAGGAAAATGTAAATTTTCAATTAATTTTAAAATTTGTCCGCTAGATTTGATAATTTTTAAGTGATTACCAAAACTTGCAGAGGAAAATCATTAATTTATCCAAAAATGTGCTATTTTGGAAAACACAAAATAGATTGGAAAGCGTTAATTTTCAGTAACTACTAGTATGTATAGAATAATTTGCTGTTATTTTGATGATTGCAGATCCTTCCAAGCGTTCACTTCATTAGGCAGTGAAACGTATCATTATGGCTGTCCTCAGCAACGACAAAAGATGGCTTGTGACTCTTGTCGCCTCAAATAAGGTCGCAGCTCCAGTTTTACAAGATATCGTGAAACAAGGAATGGACAAGCTGTATGCTACCTTAAACAATTACCTTAATGGCTTACCGACACCTTACAGTCTACAAACACTGACCTACGCAGATGTATGCCATCTGGCAGCCACTCCAAGTACTGCTTCTTCGCTTAAAGACCTAAATTTCGGAAATATTAACAACAATTCTAGTGTTCATGGAAATAACAAAAAGACCTACAACTACAATGTCAACAGCTCAGTTGATCTTGCGAAGCTTTATCTCTCAGACTACCTAGCAGTATTCTCGGCATTCGACAAATCTATGGATTTGAATGCCGCTCTTAGACTATTGGGATGTAGGAAGTATCCCGTACAAGTATTCGTTTCTTCCGACCCTTTGCACGATATTCAGCCGTTGGCAGATGATGTCAGAGAGAATGTTAGGAATCGGGGAAGTCATTTTAAAGAGAGCGACTGGACCCAAATCTTCTTTGACCAGTGCTTTGACAAGTTAGAGGCTTTGCTCCAATATCTGCCCCTGCTTCCAGACAAAAAGAAGGAGCTTTTGGATCAACTTTGTGCATGGAAAACAGAAGGTACTAGAAATGTCTAAAGTAGTGTAATGTAACTATTCAACGAATACCTTTTTAATGTAGCAGTTCTCTAGGTCTGATGTAGACTCAAGACCAATGTAAATACGCTGAAAGAGAGCAGAGACGTGGCTTTCCAGGGGTCACAGGGCATTCTTCCTGGAAATTTGAAAACATGTTGTTTGGCTGCACTTTCAGTATTTTACATCTAAACAAAGTTTCGGAAACATAACCGCTTAGGAGCCAAACTCAGCGCAAACTCCAGACCCCGTTCGTGCTCACGACGCTTGACTACTCTCTATTGACAGAGATTAAGCTCACTATATAATATGTGGCAGGGCATATTCCTGGCTTCCATTCATGGCCCTTTGAATATCTATGTGATCGTTTATTATCTATTAATCTCGTCAAATCAAATTAGACCGCCTGCGATTGCCATGATGTTTTCATTCCCTTGGCAACTCACGCGAGTCTCAGCTTCAGGGGTTTTCCCTGTGCCAACCTGGTCGTTGCAATCAAGTAGCGGAACAACATGCTCAGAGAAGCCCGCTTCAGTAATATGAAGTAGAAAATTACTTATTCATTACTAAAACGCCGTATCTATAGTGACAACATATCATTTCCTCTTACCAGTTTCTTAGCTTAATCTCATCTCATCATCGTCGACGTCAGAGTTGACATTGTTATCATTATTATTATGCTACTGTTATCATTATTACCATCATTTAATGTACATTCATCATTTTTAGGTTTCAAGCGGATAGTTGACAATGACGTCAAAGATCTACTGGAAAAATTCCAAAACGTCAAACTCGCTTCAATTAATGACAAATTGGACGACATGCCAACTAGGGAGGAGAACGAAAGAGTGATAGAAAAGCTGTCTTTCTTTCACACCAGTATGATGGATAGATTTGATAGAGTGGAATCCTTACTTCGAAAATTTGGTCACAAGCTAGACGGTAAGTTTGAAAACAACGACTAGTTGCAATTTGCAAAATTCCAGTGAAAAATAATGTTGTAAGGAAAGACTCTTCTGGTGGCTAACAATTTCACCCACAGAAGCGCGTAAATTTCCCATTAACACTCACGAGCGAATCGGGGACCACGTTGTTAGATACAGTTAGATAAGTTGTTATTGTTGTATTGCAAAGGTGTGCAGTTTTGATCATTGGACACGCCAGTGTTTTCGACACGTACTTTATTAAGAGTCCTAATTGCTTTGTAATTTAAGAGGTGTCTGACATAATATTTATATTGTACCTTTAACTGCGAACAAAACAAGACAAGTATAAAAAGTTACCAACCATACTTCGATTATTTCAAGAACCATATATTTTTTTCATCAACCCGGTTGCATTTGTTAAATAATGCATGCTTCAGTGCCATTGCTCTAAATCAAGAAGGTAGCAAGAGTGTTCACTCTACAGAATCAAGCGTCCTATCTACAGACGCCACTTCCAAAGAAATCCGCCAAATGAGGGAAAAGGTAATATAATCTGATAACAGATAGTTCCCAGTCAAAGGCCCAGACATTAAATAAAAACGTAATTTATTTACTGGAGTCGGGTTTGCCAGGCCTGGGCTCGTGTCGTGTTGTATTGGTTACGATGTAACACGAGGATATAAATTATGATTGAGAATAGTTTAATTCACCCGAAAGAAACAAAGCAAGAGGTCAGTTATACTCTGACGAAGAGTTCTAGAAAGTTTGTCGAAACGACATTCCCTACTACCTTCAACAGTTCCTCTTTACGAAAAAACTACGCAATTCAATAATACCTTTGGGCTCAAATCAGAAAGTTGGTCAGCGGAACGTGCACTTACTATGTGATGTTGATTCAGTTCGAATTGGTCGGTCATCGCAATAGGAGAACTATTTTTTTAATTAAAACTAACATGGATTTTTCATCACGATTTTTCATGGTTAACGTTAAATTAAATCTGCAAAGGAAAAGATATGTACAGTCAAGAAGAGTAAATTTAATCTTATTGAGATTCATGCTCAAAATTAGTTTGTTATAAGATAAAAACGCAGAGTCTAAAATTAACAAACTCCCTGAGACAGAACCACATGGGAAAAAAAAGAAAGGTTCCTGCTTCAGATAACAACAGCCCAAATAGGACTGACCACCCAACAGAGACAGAACCAGGTGAACCAGGTGACAAAATCAGACAAAAAAGGAAAAAAATACTGTTTCTTCCCTCACTGAGATAAGACAGGTAATTAAGGACTGATTAGCCTAGAGCATGGCTAAGAAATAACAAAAGAACGAGAGTATGTTTAGGATTCTGCTTTTGAAACTGTGAAACATTACAATAAATTAGTTAGAAAACGCACAAACCTGCCAAGAGCCCGTCATCCTACAGGGAATGAATGTTTGAGGTGTAATGTCAGGATTTATTCCATAATTAGTTCATCTTACTCATGTTGTATTCCAACAGTTGGATAATACGCCTAGTGATTTTAAGCATCTACCATCTAACTACCAGTCCTTTTTTCGCTTTGAAGGCACAGAACCAAGGTAGACTTTTCTTTGCTGATAAAACGGTGCAGACATCATCATTTTCGGCTCACGTTATTGAGCAGCGAGATTTATCGCGGGTCATCATATGGCTCAAGACAGAAATCGTCAGGCATACAACTTTACCTTATCGTCAAATTGGTCAGGCCAGCAAGTAGAATTTCTTTCTCGCGAAGTAATACACAGTTAAGACCTTCCCTTAGAGAAAAAACGATAACCCCTTTTCGCAGATACCGCCGAATACACTTATCAAGAGTGTTGCTAGTTGTAACTGGTTTTTGGTAGTTACGGAGAAAGGTTTTTGTATAGCCATTTGCCTTTAGGACATTAGAAACATATTTCCTCTCCTCAGCCTTCGAATCGAGTGAAGATGGTAGACAGGCACTAATCGGCGTTACCACCAGTGCCTTTGTTTGGAGGCTTGGCATATAAACTCCGCCCACGCTCCTTTAAATCGTGACGATGGCGGTTTGCTTCCTGACGCCTATTTACACCTCGTTAGAAAAAAAAGGCCGCTAATTAGTGATCATATATAAGGACCTCTTGTTGCAGCGTTTAGATCACCCCTGATGAAAGCACTGGACAGGAGTGTCGAAACGTTGGGTCTATAAATTGTAACTTCTTCGGTTACATTCATTAATTCTGTAAACCAGAGTAGCATCAAACCATGTCTGTTCGCATAGAAATTTCGCGGACTTAAGTTCCCGCGCTTACCTGATGTTTATAAATGATATTTTATACTTAAAGAGCTCCTCAGTATAGACGCCAGAAATGTACTATCAGAATATCTACCCAATCGTTTCAAGTGTCCAACAATACTCTGGTATCTCAAGAATATAACTCAGTCGAAATCTCTTTCGAAAACAAGGTCCTGACATGTTTGGGTTTAGCGAAGCCGTTCCTATCGCTTAAACATTCTGAAATTGAGAAAATTGTCATTCATACTGTGATGCGTAGTTATTTTCAATGCGAAAATTGTGCGAAAGTTTCTAAAATTTACGAAGCACTCGCTAACGCGCAAGCCGCGCGGATCCTCGCGCCTCTTTACCTTTTAATTTTCAATTCTAATTAATTTCACGGTCAAAGCCAAACACCTCTCTTTCACTAGCTAATTGAGTCCTCTCGTTTTACGTTGACAAGCCTATAGATCATTTTACACTTCCCTGGTGATAATTTTTTTCTTGATCAAAGCTCGTCATGTTTAAGTTTGATTCAAAGTTTGAATCAAACTTTTAAGGAAATCAATTGATTTTCAAAGTGGTCTTTGGTAAGGTGTTAAGACGTTAAAATAAGACTTGCTACAAGATAAGTTTGGTTTTGTTTTTTGTTTTTGGTTTTTTTCGCTGAGTTCATTATAGTAAACTATTGTTGGATAAATTCTGACTCTGTAGTGTCTTTACTACTAACTACAGTTCTGAGGTAGACTCAGTTAATGGGTAAGAAAATAATAGTGTTTTTGAACATCAGCCCTTCTTAGAAGGAAACTCCTAGGACTTCAAATAATCCCATGAGAGGGAAACATCTCTTATAAACTCAAATAAACTATTGGTCACGGAAATCTGGCACTAAAAACCCAAAAGATGAAGGGGACATTAAACTCTCATATTGGGGGAAATCAGTGGGACTAAAACATTTCATATTAGGGAAATTACCGGGACTTAAGAACCTCACGTCAGGGAAATTGCTGGGATATAAAACCCCATATTTGGGAAATCTCTAAGACGTAAAAACCCAATGGCAAGGAAATTACTGAGACATAAAAACCCCCTGGCAGGGATATCACTGAGACATGAAAGCCCCACGGCAGGGATATCACTGGGACATGAAAGCCCCAAGGCAGGGATATCACTGAGACACGAAAGCCCCATGGCAGGGATATCACTGGGACATGAAAACCTCATAGCATATCACCGGGACATGAGAATCCCATGGCAAGGTTATCACTGAGACATGAAAGCCTCATGGCAGGGATATCACGAGGACATGAAAACCTCATGGCAAGGATATCACTGGGACATGAAAGCCCCATGGCAGGGATATCACTGAGACACGAAAGCCCCATGGCAGGGATATCACTGAGGCATGAAAATCCCTTGACATGGATATCACTGGGACATGAAAACCCCATGACAGGGATATCACTGGGACAGGTAAACCCCATGTTATGGAATTTGCTGGGACATAAAAACCCCTTTTAAGGGTAATCTCTGGGAATTTTGAGTCCCTTTCAAGGTTTTGGTATCATTTTCCCATTCTGGGAAATTTCCAGAGATCCCATTGAAAACCCTGAAACACCCCACCTTTATCACAGAATAGGAATTACAAAAAGTCCCTGTGAATTAAAAGCGCTAATTATAAATCGCTCTAGTTCTGAGGCAGATCGATCGCACTAAATATCAATAATGTGTTTTAGTGTCAATCTTTGCAAAATACAGAAATTGTAACATTTTCAATCGTCAGTATTGCCACCGATCGTTTGTGAAAAATACAAATGGCTACCGCAAAACATCAATCGTTATTGCTAATATTGCGGCATATTATTTACGCACAACTCGTCTCTATGAAATGATCGCTCCTTTGGTGTTATTTATGCCATGGGGAAATGATCAATCTGTTATTTATCAGTATAGTTATATTTTCATCCTTTTTTACAAGGTCGTGTCATTGGTGCCAAGGATGATTCAACTGCTAATAGAATTTCGGTGAGTTTAAAGCTGTGTACACCGACGTGCATGTAAATCTAGAGTGTTTGATAACGCTAGTGGTTTATATTGATGAAGCAATGCACTCATCTAGCAGAACATAAAACCATCTTTAACGAGTTTACAGACTGTGACTAAAAAACAATTTTTAGGGTAATTTTTAGAGAGATAAAATAGCAGAACACACTGGGAGGTGGGAGTGGCTGAGTGGTTAGGGCCCTAGTCTTGTAATCTTGTGATCCTGGGTTTTAAGTCCTTTGCCTTGTTACATACTAGATTTGTAATCAGGTTTCTTGTGGCTCCTTGGCTGCACTTTGTACAATTTATAGCCAACTGGTCTGCCTCCTGCCAGTTGGGGTTCTTAACTACTATAAGCTGCCTGGACCTTGTATTTGAATATTTATATTTGTGAACAGTGGCAAGAGGGCAGAAAGCAAACAGGGGAAGGACATTTATTTAATTAACCCGACCCTCTTAAGGAGAGAGCCTGAGGCCCACTTATTGGGTAAAACTGCGGTTTGGTTTAGACTTGCTGTAAATAGCCAGTGCTATGTTTGTGTTCACCAATAATTACTATCAAAATGTTTATTTCCAATTTGTTTGAATTCATAATTTCTTAATTTATAAATGCATTGAGACTTGTGAAATACTACCTGATAACTGTTTATTGTTATTGATAATTATTATTATTGTTTTTATCATCATCATTATGATAATTATTATTATTATCATTTTAATTTAGTTATGTTTTATTATTATCTTGACAACAAAAGTTTAGCATTGAGTTCCTTTAATTAGAGTAACCTTGATTTTTTTCTTTTTTGCTTTTTTATGCAGATTAGCACCTACACGATCATGGCCATCATAGTTTGTGCACTATCTGTACCCATGTTTCTTTACAACTGGGCTGCTTTGGTTGAATATACTCATATCCTTACCTGCGAGACTGACTTTTTCATTATTTTCAAAGTCTTTTGTTACTCTGAGAGTGAGAGGCATATGGCTGCTGTTGGAACTGGGTTATGTTCCTACCATCTTTTTTGTGCTGTTTTTTTGTTTATTATAGCTCTTATTGTATTAATTATTTACTACTATCCGCAGACACTTTCATGAATTTGCATTGTAGAATCTTTTGCTAGATATCCCACAATTAGACTATGCACCCCTTAAGTCCCATAAGTGACCAAGACAGAATTTCTCCTTACAATATCAACGCAGTATCAAGTAGACAAGTCATGAGAATAAAGAAAAAAATATCATTTGAAGGATTATTTGTTGATCTAATATCAAATTTCCAAAGTAACATCCTGAGAATTGTAAAGCAAATAGTAAGGAGAATTCCTAATAAGATCTGGGAGTGAGAGGGTTAAGAAGGTACAGACTGTTAGATGATCATTCAACCAGAACTAGTGTCAGAGACATAAATCATGGAGAAACTAGTACACATTTATACTCTTGAGTACAGGAGAGAGGAGTATCATGTCCAAGAAAACAACTCAGTAACCTAGCTTGTATTAACCACAGCTTAAAAGAACATGAAGATCTCTAACATTGAAGTTCCAGCTTATCTCTCACAATTATTTTTACTTATTTCACTAAATATTCATGACCAGTATTTAGTCAGCAATGATATATAAAAATAACTTTTATTTTGGCTTTCAGTTCTAACTTAACTTGAAAATAAGCATGATAGTTTTCTTGGTTGTTTTCTGAATAGTCAGCGTGGTCGACCAAGCTCAGTTGTAGAGACCCACTCAGTCCCTCAATTTTTTTCCTCTTTGTTAGTTAGTCTGAATTGTGAGCCGTCTCCTCACCCCAGTCCTTTGAGTGAGCCCTCCTCCCTTACCCCCCATCCATAGTGTTAGCTGACACTCAAGACTGAAAAGGTTGTAACCCAACGTTTTTTAGTTTGACTACAACTCTTAATGGTTACTACATTTCAATAAGTTCTACTAGCAGTCGTTTACTAAATCTAAGAGAAGCTCACCTTTAAAGGACTAAGACATTTAATTAACTCAAAGTCAGTCGATTTTAAAACGCGCTTAAAGAGGCAGAACGTGGTTTAAGGTTCATCGAGGAAAATGTTGCTAACTTATTCCGCATACTAGAACGAAAATTTTTTCAATACATAATTTTTGTTTCAGAAATAGTCAGTGCCATCAAAAGTGTTTGCAAGACACAATTTAGGAATAGCTACTGAATTTGAACGCATTTAACCGACAAGAAAGTTCGATTTCAGTCGATATGGCACAAGTACTTCTGGTTCTGCGTTTCTGCGTTGAGGGTTTTTTTTTCTTTTCTTTTTTTTTTTTCACTTTGACCGGTGAATGTAAATTTGTGATTTGCTTCATGTTGTGGTATTTTCAACAAAACGTTTAAGACAGAACCGTAGCAAGTGAGCGGCTGGATGAAATGCCTCTGGTTTCGCACTTGTCTTTTGTGCATAATTTTTCAACGTAAATATATGCAATGACATATCAATCGATTTTAGCTGTCACCTAAGGGTATTTGTAACGTAGCAAATGAGGATTCTAGCAAAGGATTTTTTTCTTAGCAAAAAGTTGAATAAGCCTAAACAAATTTTTTTAGTTCTTTTGAAACGAGAGAGGCTTGATATTTTCACTCTATACAGAAATGATAAACTGGATTACCACTTTCGCTCAGAAGAGAGATCCTTTCCTTGTTCTGTTTTATCAAACTGCACTGCCTCTTCCCGCCTGGTATTCAATTTTAATCGTTGTGGTATTTACTACAGTATTTACAACACTATAAACACCCTCTAACAACTCCCAAACAAGCATGGACTATATTTCAACGATATGGTTACTGAGAACGGAAAAGAGATTATATCTAGCTGGGGCGATATGAAAAAAGTAACTGATCAAACTGCAGGAAAATGAAAGACAAGGAAGCCATTTTCGTTAAAAATTGTGCGCAGTGCTGGACCCACAGAATGTTTGTGTTGACTTTAATTCTGTATTTAAGTTATTACTTTTGCGTTTTCAAAATGGATGAAATAAAGTAATGTAATTAGACCTCATGTTGTGCCATTTTTCTCTGAAATAAAACTTGCGCGTTCGCTTGATTTTGGGAACATGACGACGATATCAGAACCTTGGGCCCTCCACTCTGTTCAATTACCATTATGAAAAGGTCTCATGGGGGGGAGGATACTGAAAAGACCTGAGCTCCAGCCCTGCCTCGGTCACTTTTGAGTTCTCGGCCGGACAGTGACTCTCACCAAACGTTGCCATACCTAGGAGTGTAAGTGGGTAGCAGAGAAGTGACAGGACAACCTGATAAGATGCTGGCAGCTACCGGACCGGCATCCTACCATGGGAGGGCATAATAGATCTTTTTTGAAAGAGGATAAACTTGTTTGATTTTTTTTTATTTTTTATTTTTATTTATTTTTTTATCGTTATCATTATTATTGACAACAACGATGAGAAAAAAAAAACCTCAATCCTCTTCAAGATACAACTAATGTGTAGTTGCTGTGGAATGTAAAAAAAAAAAAAAAAACAGCTGGCTTGCTACTTTGTAAACATGTGTTGCAGTTGTAACTGCGCCAGTTGACTGAATGATAACCAAGCCTCCCTGTGGTCCTGTAAACGCAGGCCACCCAAGCTGAATGTACATCTCCATCTCATATACAAATGCACACGCTTTTCGTGGTAGGCCCACACTAAATGGTGTCGGGCGTTTTCGTAATGTGCCGGTCCACGAACTCTCTAGCTTAAAAGATAGTCAAATGCACAAAGTTCATACTGGTTCTCACGAGATAACAAATGACCCATATGTGAGTTCAAACTTCGAAATACTGGCAAAACTGTGACAGCCGATTTAACAACAGACTATGATACTGAGACGAACACCTTACTTGCTGAAAAAATCAAGAATTTTCGTGAACACATCTTCGGAGGTGGCGCTAACAACAGCGAATTGGATAAGGATACTGATCGACAGAAGCAACTTGAATTAGAAAACTTGACTTGAAAATTAGAAAACTGCAGAGCTGTGTACGGAGCCGTTTAAGTAAACACGTAACAAAGTCATCGAAAGTCCATGATCTTATTAAAAATAATGCAACATGAAAAAAAAATAAGAATCAGATTTGTACAAAAAATAAGAAGGAAACCAATTTTTAGAACAAGAAACGTTAACTCCTCAATGAGATATGTCTACAATTCAAGTAGAGATAAACATCGAAAGAAATAACTCAAACACTTAAGGTTCTTTTTGTGTAATTTCCCATATAGTGAGTACAAGGGTGTAATTCACAGAGGCAATTGTACAAAGAGCAAGCTCTATAATGATACAGAGAAAAGAAAAAGAATAAGAAAAGCAATAAAAGCACCATATAGCCAAGGGGATGTTGTTGTATTTGGACAAAACGCTAGGCAAGAATGTGTTGCAATGAATTTATGTGCATTAATATTGCACAATATGAAAGGAA